TAAAAAGTAATTTGTTGTTTTAGTGGACAAAATATTGTCAATAGGTTTATTTGAGGTTTTGTGCATTGTTTCCCTCCATATTTACTTAACTTGAAGCTGTTCTGACGAAGCTGTCACTTACTGTCACGCCACAGTCTCGAAGACAACATTCTGCGAAACCGACGTGACCCCCTCAAGCTTAAAACCGGTATGTTCAAGCTTGACCACTAAAAAAAACCGACGTAATTCTTAGAATCGCTTGGCATTTCTAAACAAACCTCGAATATACTCAATTGTTTTGTATGGAGTTTCAGTGGCACTTTGGTGAAAATTTCCTCATGCCGGCCATTTAGTCCATTTGGGACCGTGTCGTTGAAGCATTTCTGAGTGGCAAAAGCCAAGCGATATTATTGGAAGCACAAGCTCGAAGAATTCGTCCACCTAAAATTAATAATTAATTTTTGGAACCACTTGACATTTCTAAAATAACATCTGATGCTCAAGTAGAAGTTTGAAGGAACCTTTCAGTGGAATTTTGGTGAAAATTTCCGCTAACTTCTAGGCATTTAGTCTATTCGAGACTGTGCCCGGCAGTCTGAAATTCTAGGTGACGACAACCGAGCGATATTGAAGTGTGCACAAGCACGGAAATTTTTCTACTAAAACACCAAATCTGAATTTTGGAATCGCTTGACATTTCTAAACTAACGTCCGATACTCAAGTAGAAGTTTTAGGAACTTTTCAGTGGCATTTTGGGGAAAATTTCTGCCGGGCATTTAGTTCATTTGAGACTGTGCCTGGCAGTCTAATCAGAGGCGTGCAATTTCTGAGTTTCGACAACCGAGCGATATAGTGTCCTCAACTCAATCTTCCTCGTGCAACCGATGCTAAAGCCGCAGTTTGCTTGAAAAGTTTCCAGTTAAGAGGTTTCTAACAGCCCGCGTACACATCAACCTTGACACACGACCTTTGAAAAACAGCTTGGTAACCCTATCGCCTCGCCGGGGACCACACCGTAACTTGGCACCCGTGGTGCTAACACAATTTATTCATGCCAAGTTACGGTTTGGTCCCCGGCGAGATTCAGTTTGAAAAAGAGGTAGGGTTACCAAGCTCGTTGTAGAGAGGCCAGAGTCCTCCTCTTCGGAATCTAGTCATTTCAAGGAGAAGAAAACGCAACCCTCGCACGCTTTGAAAAATGCTAAAAACGGGGACAGTAAGATGAGCCTTGCCCGAGGGTCTTAATGGGATAATGACTCTTGCGGCGAACAGTTAAAATTTTGTGGATAAAGGGAAACTTGTAACGGTTAACTTTGTTTGCCACCAGCAATTAAATTTGGCAATTCTTACACCTAACGGCTAAGTTTTTTCATCATTATCGATTAACTGTTAACCCCATTGTGACCCTTCTTACTTCGTCCGACAAGGAGATTAGATAGCTACCTCACCGTACCCGATGGAGCTCTCAAACACGAGGATTCTTTAATCAGGAGGATTAAGACAAATCCACAGCTGGCCAACGTAGCTTATAACAAAGGGAGGATCTCTGCTTTGAACTTGATTTACTCCTAAATTCTCGCCAGATATATTGTTTTGTCTACTAAAGGGATGAATTTCGATAGATTTCACTCCAATACTTAAAATTCCGGTAAAAATAATTTTAAAAAAATTTTGTCCCTGAAAGTATCATGTATCCTTAATTTGGATAAAAGTTTCTAGAAAACTACTGCCTTCCCGATTCTGGTAAAAATAATTTTTGAAACATTTTGTCCCTGAAAGTATCATGTATCCTTAATTCGGATAAAAGTTTCTCGAAAACTATTGCCTTCCCGCGGGGTGCCTCTGTGTTTGTTGTGAAGGTCAGGGGTTGTGCAATATCATCGGCTGGCGGCTCACGGTGCGAGCCTGATGTTGACGTGACTCTTTGAGAAGGCGTGGTCCAAAACACGCAATGTTATTTCTACAAGATACCTCCTGTTTAAATACAGAATGTACAGAATTCCGTAAACTTTGACTCGAATATTAACTGAAAAGTGAATACCCAAATCAGTGTGTCAGTTTTTTTACTTATTGATCGATTATTCCGCTCCCAACAGCAACAGAACACATCACGTTTGCAAGTTCGGTCATTTCGCTCTGTTTATCAGGTTCATTGGTTTTAACTATACTTCGGAAATTCTTTCGTTGCTATCGCAGAAATAATCTAAGGAATTGTGTATCACTCACCTGGAGCAGTTACTGACACAAGAACAGTCAATGTAAGCAGTAAACGACTCAATTTTTGAGGCTGTTTCTCTGTCTGTTTCGGAGTCACCGTTTCCTGCCTGGCGCAGTTTTGCCTATGACAAACGATAAAAATTTATATAGATGCATTAAGCTCACCAGTGAGGAGTTGATCAATACAACTTTAACTTACGTTGCCGTAAAATATTAAACATAGAGAAAAGAAATGTAAATTAAGTGTAGCTTTTTTGCCTCTTTCAGCCGCTTAAACCACAGGCGGCTCAAGCTCCAGCTGTGAGATGATCATCTTACGAAAAGCTTTAGTTATGTACGCAGAAAACCTCGTGCTTAAACTACGTTTTCCTGATGTATACCCTTGGTAAGTGAGATATACTCGAGTTCGAGTTGGACTTTGTTACGATATGTTACGATTTGTTTGGCAGCTTGCCTAATTTGGTCATTTGCTTCATTTTAATTCAAAAATATGCAGTGATTTTACTGCTCACAGAAATTGCCTCCAACATGGCATGTTGAGTTTCTAGTAGCACAGAACAACACGAAACAGACCTGGAGTAATAGTGAGACTGTAAAGTAATTTAAATGTCTTATTATTGTTAATATAATTAATATTGTTTTAGAACAATCATGTAATTAAATTTGTATTTGAAATATGATAATAAAAAAAGGTTGCTTTAAAAAAAAGAGAGACTTCAAGATACTTTTCGAGTTTAGTTTTGACGGTCCTGACCGCGATTTTAAATCTTCTACCTTCGTTTTTTTCTTCCTAAATATTTGGTCTCGCCACTTGGACCCTTGTGTGTCTCGAAATTATTCAGACCTATCATCCCGACTTACTTTTTTTAATTATCATATTTCAAATACAAATTACAGACATAATTAAAACTACTACACAGAAACAAGGAGGTTCGGCCGACGACAGCCGCGCAATTGCTGTTGTGAGCATTTTCACCAAAATTAACATTTCAGTTGTTCTAAAACAATTTTAATTATATTAACAATGATAAGACATTTAAATTACTCTACAGTCCCAATTGAAATTAAAAAAGCGCAGCGACGAAAAGCATAACAAAGCAAAGTTAGTGAAGCACTTTTAGGTTTAAAAACAATTAGTGACATTGTGTGGCCACCTAATAAACCATTTCCACTTCATACACGGCCCTCAAACCTTTTGCTTGAGAGTTTTTTATCCATGCATTTTGTAAGTATTCGGTCTTTGTGGCATGATATATGAATTACATGATACATACCTAATATTTATAATTATCAAATTTCCAACTCCGAATGTTCTAATCATAGGCAGACCACACTATGAGTGCCTGGATAATAATTGTTGACATGAGAGGAAAAAAATCTATGAAGGTTAGGAGTAAAGCTTTGAAAATTGCATAACCAAATTACGTCTTAGTCTGAATATCTCAATTAAGTTAAATGAAATGTTCATCGACGCATTTGTGGTATTTTTTTGCCCTCATGGGTCGTTTTAGCGTCGTTTTTTATGAAATTACTTTTGGCCGTAGGCCGTTAAAAGAAGAAAGGAAGTTTATTTCACTATGTCGTGGACATGTAGCGACGAATATTTAATCTTAGACAAATTTACCGAGTATTTCATTTCATTTCGCGAACAAACACCATTTAAACTTTGCGATCACTCTTTTCTTTCAATTAGAGAAGACCAAAGCTGACTACAAAGATTTCAATGGCGTTGTCGGAAATGAGACTGACGAGTCTGCTGTGTTCCGAAACTTCACCTTTTATTTTAATCAACTTGATCCCCCTCTCTCTCACGGCACACTGTACTCCTCTCACCCTCTGGTCTCTCTCATTTCAGGAGACCATGTAAGTAATAGGCTCCTGTCATTTAAATACACAATAAGATCCAATTGTTCTCAATGTCCAAATTATTTGTCACCTTATCGCAGAAACTCAACCGGAAATCAATTAACGTTGAATAATCTCTGACACCGTTTTTCTATGAGTGGAGGCAACTGAGACACATGTGAAACCTGCTCATTGTAATGATCCCATTGTATCAAAAGTCAGCCCTCTATGGGGTTACATGCACAATTTTTAAGCGCAGGGCTCCCGAAGAAAAATTCTCACGATTCACGTGGGATAATGCCCTATTTCAGTTAACGTACTAACCCAAAAGTCCCCGGCCATTTACGAAATTATCAAAACTCGCGTGAACTTAGCGATAGGGAAAGGTCTGGACTGAACCAATGGGCCCTTGTGCCATTGGACTATTGGACTTTTTTTCAACTACATTTTTTGGACAATATTAATTCATAGAGAAAGTCGTAGCACATACAGATACTCCATATTCTGCCTTGAATTGGCATATATTGTAAAATCAAGTTGTGTTGGTTTATCATGTCCGGCTCGAAGCCCACGAGCGATACAATAATGCTTTTATTAAATGGCTCGTAAGTGCTTTTCTGAGATGCATTAATGGAATACCTAAATTCACGGTCGTCATCATGATCGCGTCTGAAATTCAAGGACAATGTAGCGATTGATAATCATGGAAGTAGTGCTACTGATGTGCATTCATTTGTTACAAAGCTGTTTGGCATCAAAGCATCATTGCTGTCTACGATTATTTCAAAACGTTTAATCCAACTGCTAAGCTTACAAAATGAGGAAATTCACTCAGATCTACAAATCTACTTTTTTTTGCGAGTAATATTGACTGTCCATCTTGGATGACATGTCGTACGACGCTCACAATTCTACAATCAAGGGTGCTAGGAACACGTTAGCATCTTTGGTCTGCGGTCTACTTCATTAGCGCCAAGCCCAGCACAGAGGAGACGATCAACAGGAAGAAGCTGAAGGTCACAGGCGAGCCTGCATTACAGCCATCGCCAGTACAGCAACCAACCCCGCACTTGTAGTCCTTTATAGTATCTTTAAGCTTGTCACAAAGCTCTTTTGCTGCGTCACAGACGGCTTCGTTGGCGCAGTCGTTCCCCACAGCGTTCACGTTACCTCTCCTAGACCAACTCCTAGCGCACCTGTCAGCGATGGAAGGACATTCCTTCAAATAGATGGCCTTGTTACTTTCCAGTCTGCTCTTGCTGCAAGTATCTTCAGTGCCAGAGCACTGGTAGCATTTCAACGCACAGCCTGATGGTACAAGAAAATAGAAAACAAACTTGAATAAATTTAGAATCAACAAACTGAATGACTTCGAGAAAGGCTCTCAGGACAATAAACTAATAACGTTCACATATGCTGTAAAATGATTGGCTAAGCCACCCACTATCTATTCCGTGGTCGATTACGCTTATAGGCACTCGATTTGTACGAGTAATATGGCAACAAAGTATTTGGAAACCCCAAGTCGCGCGCCAAGCCAGGTGCATATCACAATCCATATTCCGTCAAACGTCCTTGCGTGGTGCGTTGCCACCAGCAGACGTCATTCAAATCTTAACAAAATCCAGTATGTCCGTGAAAAAAATGCTGGCAAACTTCCAAATTTTTAATCTACAGTATAGTCTTTTGTCTCACCATGTAATCACTTTAGATGTGGATCGCGATTTCTCGAATTGAATGTATTGAGAGTCTTTTTTCAAGCGATGAGGTCGACTGCCGGGTACATGTTACCTTATAAACTGTTCTACTCAGCTGTGATTGATTGGAAATCCACAGATGTCATTGGTACATTTCTTCGAAAGGTTCCCTCAAAACTGACAGACCGCTACAAACTTCTTATGAGTTTATTAATTCATTATGGAGGCGTACGAAAGTTAAAGATTGTGCGCGGACAGGAAGCCTGAAGTGTAAATTGCAGTGCCATTGTTTCCAACCTTAATTTTTGCTATCTTTGATAACCTGACAGTCACTCTCACTGATCATAGTCAGAACAAACGAATATTTTTGTAAATTGTTGTGCGTCATCAGCCACATTGCACATAACAGCTTAACGGCTGGACATGTCACCTTCACACTTCTGACATGAACTGATGGTATGCGTTGTTCGCGATTCTTTCACAACTACCTCTTCCACACAAAATGTAAAGTAAAAATAAAGTGAATGCTCACGATTTCGTTAAAGGCGTCCTCTTTTCTGGGAGGGAGGCATTTGGAGCTCTGAATATTGCATCATCGCAAAACTGTCTAAAAATGCTGCATCACTCTGCGTCATTGAAACAGTGAGACCGCATTGTGATTTTTCCAGTGCTTGAGTTGCAAATGAGCACTTAAAAGAGAATCACTTAATATTTGCATGTACTGTGGATAAAGTCCACGTATTGATCATATGGGTCTAAAGGGTCGTATTTTACCCAATGGGTCGCATATTGTTCAATATGTCAGTAGATCTTTAAAAAGTTTTTGCTCAAGTCCTAAATCCTCGTTTCAAATACTCTTTACCATGTGGTGTGGTTCTGAATAGTTCTGTATCGGTGATCGACTTGTTATTGCAGATGGCTTTACAAAACAAAAACAACGCAATTAATAATCTCGTTTTGCTAAAAACGACAACTTTAGAACTTGAACACAAGCAAAGCGCCCCGAGGTATTTAGGATCACCGCGTTAAATAACTGAGCATTACAACAAAACTCGACACCAGTCGTCTTCCTCTTCTTGCCCAGGTTCTTATGCATCTATCACAAAGCAACCACCAATGTTTTTTTTTTTCAAATTGCTCTTACTACAACAGTCGTCATGGTCATTAACTGTGTCGCAAGCAGTACATTTCGAAGCCATAGATGATGAGGAAAAATTGTGTAGAAAGAGAGTTGATTAAGCAATCTTCACTGCGTCTCTAAACATTTTCAAACAGTTCAGCTCGAAATGATTTAAAGAATAACTGCGTCTTCTTTCTCAGGTAGTAAAATTCGGCAACAGCTACGGTAAGAGTGATGATATTCGCTCACTAAATGTACGTGTTTCGTAAATATTGTCTATATGTGCTCTGGGCGTGTGATGTCCCTCGCTTACAAGCTCATATTTGGCTGTTAGCGGTCTTTCCAAAAAGTTCTTCTTCCACTCGAGGAATATAACGATTAGATTTCTTCTTCTTGAACCGAGTGTAAAATGTAGTTTTTCCCTTACGTGAGTGAAAGTCCGCTAAAACAATTACAAAGGCACTTTTTCACACTAAACACCCGAGTATAACCTCAGCCATTAAAATATCCCATATTCGAAACCAATTCACATTGAGCCAAATCCAACTCCATTCATTGCACGTAAATCGTGCGAAAACAAAAAATACTAAAAGATCTGAATGATTTTCAACCTGGATTTCTTCCGCTTCTTTACAATAAGATTGATGATCTATTTTACTACACATTATACACCCACATTTTCCAGGGTTATTGTGCGGTTGACGGAGAGAAAACCTAACATGCTAAGGACAAATGTTACTGATGATACTCGACGGTAATTCTGCACCCATTTGTGTTTGAATTGTTTCACTGTCGGCCACCTACAAACAGCATTGTTTAGCGATGATCATACCGAAAACTGACGAAATTGTTTATACATATGATAACTCTACAATTCATTCAGTTTCAAAGTTGTACAATACCCACCATGTGCAGCCATCAGAACAACGACAGTCAGAGTGAACAGCAAACGATTCATTTTTGAGGCTCCTATCTCGTGTCGAGGTTGAACTCTTCGTGCTATACTGAACATGAACTACCACGCCAAATTTATGCATAGTACGGTCACTAAGGGTGTATAAAAGGTAACTGTCAAACAAAATGGTCCGGGGGGGGCCATAAACCACCCCTGTGTTCGTAGTCCACAAATCATTACATGCTTTGTTATTGGTGTCATTACGTTACTTTGGAGGATTTACATGGCTGAATAGGAACACAAAATGTCATACACCTGGTTATCTTAGTCAGATGTGGAATGATGATTGCTCATCTTCAAAAAGTAAGGGCGGTCCACAGAAGCCATCCACGAACTGTACGCAGGTGGTAATTCGTGCACCCTCGGTTCATGTTTTGAGAATTTATTGCATTTAGCAAAGCGCCAGCGTGTCATTGGCCTGTGCACAGCGTATGACGAAACTGGTTTAACAAGCTAGAGGCCCTGTGACATCACCCTCGATTCCAAGGTTTTATCTTCCTCTTTTAACACAAATTTCGGGGATCCAGGTTAGCTAATAGTTTTTTATGTTATTTAAAATAAATCTACCGGCTTTATTTTACTCGTGCTGCAATCTGGTTGGCTAGCGGTACTCATACTCTACTATCTATTTCATGATAGTTACTGAAAGCGGTACGTAGTCCAACAGTGCGCTGTTGTAAAAAAAAAGAGAGAAAAAGATGACCCTGTCTTAACGTTATTTTTTAGTCGACTTGTAGATCTGTATACTTAAACAAGTTAGATTTCTATGTGTGATGACTGATGCAGGTTTCTTGAGTTCATAATCTAATTGTTCACAACTTGGAATATTTTTCCAAACATCCCACGCTGTTATGGTTACTTTGCGGTCACATAAAATCTAATGATGAAACTGTTTCCGGTATAAAGTTCGTTAGGATTAGAAAATCAATGACGTCAAGGGCAACAGTGCATTGTTATCCGTGAATATTGAGAAGACTTCCGTTGCAGAGCGTGTTTGAGGGTGGCGAGGCAATTTTAGTATTGTGGTGCTGTACGCTCCAATGTACATACCTGTAACTTATCCAAATTTCACATAGCGTCTTTCAATGTCTTCATTGATCTAAACACAAAATCACTTAACAACTTTTCCTTCAGGGAACAGTTAATTTTGTTTCTCTCCATTCTCAGGAAACAAAATTAACTGTATCCCTCCGAAACAGTCGTTAAGTTTTTTGAAAACGAATTTCTTGCTACTTGACAATAATATGGTAGACTGATAAAAGAAACATTAATTACCAAAAATAGACTACAGACTCCACTGAGCGAAAAATTTTCAGTTTACGCAGAACAGTTTACGCAACCTGTTCCGTGAGTTCCGTTAGTATAAATAACGTGCGAAATAACAAATGACGCGATGATAGCAGAGGAGCGAAGAAATGAGGGAAGTCTCGGTTGGATCGAGAAAATGAAATCTGTACAGCTTTTCAACTAAAGGTCCTTCCGCTCTGTTAGGACCACCTGTGGTACTTCTGGAACAAAGTAAATCTTGTTTCCTTAATTTTTACTCCAGTTACAGAAACAATATTTACAAAGTGGACAATACAAAACTAAAACAATCTACATTACAAGAAAAACCCGAATATAACAAACTAGGTTTTTTTCAAGTTAACCTCTGTAGGTTCTCATAGAACTGATATTTACTGTGAAATAAGGCTATCTAGGTTTTCAATCACGTTCTTAATTTTTGTTCAAAAGAAACAACTTGTATTGATGGGTGTGGGTGTAATACTGCGCTATATGCTAGCCCCATGCCCTACAGTCGCATTTATTACACAGCTATGGCTGTATTGACAGCACAGTATTATGGTCTTAAAACACTGCCGGTGTTCTGGCTAGTTTTTGTTACCTTTTTGTATCGCATACGATGTGCTGTATTAAATTTGAACAAACTTTAAAGATGCTTAACTAGGAAATTTTAGCCTAGTAGGTTCTTAAATTTTAGGTTCGTACAAGTGGGTTTTTACTGTATTAAAGCGATGCTACTAATCATGTTACCTTACTTACAATACTTCTATTTACTTTTACGTAAATAACAATTTCTGATTAATTGATAAAAATTAGTAAATTAATAATTACTGATTACATAACGTTACTAACAAAAATTTACTCTTTTTAGAGATACTCTAGATTACCAATGGACGCAAGGTAAAAAAAAAAACATTTACACCACCAACGTTCAATAGCATTTCTTAACAAATATCATCATGAATAAGTTAGCGTAAAATTAAAATACATCTTCTAAAAAAGGTCTTCCAAGCACTGTAACGAGGGTGGTAAAGGGGGGGGGGGGGGAAAGGGGTCTGTAACTACTCTCTCTAGGGGAAGATGAAACATTCTGCTTAACAACAGATCTGCTCTTTTTACAGGGTTTTCCCTCACGCGTTTTACAAGGTGCCTGGGAATCGCTAAGTTCGATTTCCTTCGTTCTCTCGTGTCCGATCTTCGCTGCTCCCTGAGAAGTCCTTCTTTATCATAACTGTGGTACATTCGTTAATGATCATGTAATCGCTGGCTTTTATACCAATGTCTAAAGCCTCTGTCGCCACCACCACCGTGACTCGTCTGTAAATAGTAGGCCTTGTTTTCTTCCAGCTTGCTCTTCAAACAGCTGTCTCAGTCTTCCCCCGAGCAGAGGTAACATTGTATGGCAATAACTAAACAGCAGCAAGAAAAATTGAAAGATAAGTTGATCCGTATTTCGCCTGAGTAGAAATGCAATCCTTAAAACAGCTTGAAATATTAATTTCAAAAATGACGATGCGTCGTCAACATCGACTAAATGTTTAGAGCTCCGTAAGCATCCCGTTATTCGACCTAACCTCTGACATATGTTGCCCGCATAGAATGGTTTAAGAGGTCTGTTCTAGATCATGTGGAACGGTTCATTCGGCTGACGAAAACGGAGGTTCTGAAACCGACGGACGTCACGGTGTTGGATCTAGTCTACCCTGCGCACCAACTAAGACGAAAGCGATATGGCCGACAGACGCATTGCGTTTGTTTCATTGCTACTTGAGCTTCTTGAAACAGCATTGCGGCATGTTTTTGAATGTTACATATGCAAGGCGATTATGCAAAAAGAATACGCAAGATAGTCAGGCCTCTTTCATTGCCATTTTCCAAAAAAATAGGCATCAAGCGATAAAATGGCTGTTGATAAGCAAGGCCTTGACGGTTTTGAGTTCTACCACGACGTACGAGTGCGTTGTGGGACAACTTTGGTTACCGAATATCATTCCGGAAGCATGGAGGGAGAATTTTAGAGTGAGTCGAGGATTTGTCTACAATTTGGCAGAAGATACTGAGGTGAATGCACGTGACACGTTTTTGTGTGGAAGAGCAAAAACGATTCAAACACAAAATCAAAGGGCTCTTCGAGCCAGCTCATTCATGTTATGGCCTAAGTTTGCATTGATTTCTTGGACTTGCTGAATATAAGTACAGTTGAATTTGGTTTATGTGAACTTTCAAGACTTTTGGAATAAATTTTCCTCTATTTTTGGGCAGTTGTGTGATAAGAAAACTTGTGCATTCGTCGTGATGGGAATTGGAAAAAAGGTTGTGTGGGCTGGAGGTGGAATGGGCAGAGGTCATTAGGCAGACAGTGTCCTTTTTGTTGGTGTGTGTATGTGTTTGTGGGGCGGAGGGTGGGCTGGGTGGGCATGATCAGGCATCAAATGTTGCTCTGGTAGCAATATATTAGTAACCCTCATCTTTCACGATCATTTGCACCATTTTGAAATATTCCTTGCCCGTTTCTTGATATCTTTTGTTTTAAACAAAGCAGCCATTGCATTTGGTTTTTAACAAAGCGGCCACAATCGTTCTAAATAGAATTTCAAGCCTACATATTATCTGATTTTCACAGATTAATATTTGCGTAGTCACCAAACTGATGAGAGATAAAACCACCAGTAACGTATACAAATGGCCAGTCACGAAAGAAACGCTTCGCTTTTCCCTTTAAAAATTCGCCGGTTCCTCATGTAAGCCAATAACAATATAAGGCACATATGTGAAAATCAGTGTGTGTACACCCCTGAACGTTTAAAATATATCAAGTAGAAGGAACAGTTTTGGTCTCGGTTCGCAGTTTTGTCAACAAAGTGAACACATATCGGTTAAAAAGATAAAACGAATGGACCACGTGCAAAGCTGTCAATTTTTTCTCGAATACTGCGCGCGTTTTAAAAATATTCGATAGTGGCATCTCATTTACATCTACATCTACTTTTATTATAAAGTTGGTAAATTCTATTCAGACATCACACCAATCAGCTCGCACGCAAAGTGAGAATACTTTATGAAGGCTTGAAACTATATTAAGAACGATTGTGATCAAGAAACGGGCGAGGAATATTCCACAATAGTGTAAATAATCGTGAAAGATGATCGCAGAAAAGCGATTGAGTGACGCTCAGTAAGTTGTGAGATGACATGTTATCACGTATCAGACCAAAAAAAAGGAATAAATTCTCAGTCTGCATTTTGTACCCGGTCTGCAGTCAGCATTTTGTACTGACCGGATTGATATTGCTGTTTTTGTTCGAGCGAGCCTCAAGTCCGGACCGAAATATTGGGGCTCGAAAAAAAAATCTTAGTGGGACTATCTTGCCGCTATGATTGATGAGTGGACTGTATGTTGAAGAACTCCCGAGGAAAAGCACAGTGATAGAAAAATGATTACATCATACCAACTGAAGACGAACGCAAATGCGCGGCTTACCAATATGGCTGCCTCTGATACCCTTCTGCGTGGTCACAGCGTGTGTTGAAATGAACCCGCTACGGGTCCCCTAGGTGTGAACCTTTCGGCTTCTCGATTCAAGTTGCATTTTTAGAAGTTCGGAAACGTGATTTGAGGTTTCTTTTTTTTAATCAAACCATACAAACATTTTATTTCTTTCCACGTGAGTTTCTGAGCTTCATCGAAATTAATCTAGACTCTTACTTAGTGGGGAGATGCGAGACAACTTCCGTCCACGGTCGACAACTTCCGTCAACATCTGCTTCACCACAATACCTCATTCATTGCTTTCAGCATGAATGAGCTAAAAAGGAAAGAAACCCAATTTAACCAGGTCATGATCATTTCCGAAATTCAAGGACAATATGGTGAGTGATATTCATGGAAGTAGTGTGACTGACATGCATTCATTTGTTGCGAAGCTGTTTGGCATCAAAGTATCATTGCTGTCTACGATTATTTCAAAGCGTTTAATTCAACTAAGAAGCTTACAAAACAAGGAAATTCACTCAGATCTACAAATCTACTTTTTCTTGTGCGAATAATATTGGCTGTCCATCTTGTATGACGTCTTTTGACGCTCACAGTTCTACAATCAAGCAATGCTGGGAACACGTTAGCATTTTTGGTCTGCGGTCTACTTCATTAGTGCTAGGCCCAGCACAGAAGAGACGATCAACAGGAAGAAGCTGAAGGTCACAGGCGAGCCTGCGTTACAGCCATCGCTAAAACAGCAGCCAACCCCGCACTTGTAGTCCTTGACAGTATCTTTAAGCTTGTCACAAAGCTCTTTTGCTGCTTCACAGACGGCTTCGTTGGCGCAGTCGTTCCCCACAGCGTTCACGTCACCTCTCTTAGACCAACTCCCTAGCGCACCTGTCAGCGATGGAAGGACATTCCTTCAAATAGATGGCCCTGTTACTTTCCAGTTTGCTCTTGCTGCAAGTATCTTCATTGCCAGAGCACACATAGCATTTCACCGCACAACCTGATGACAAAGAAAAAAAATATATAACAATCTTAAACGTTACACACTGAATGACTTCGAGGAACGCAAGAAATTATTTTTGTTGCGGTTCATTGCAATCTTATTGCATTCACAAATGCTGCAGTCTGATTGGCCAAGCCACCGCTATCTATTCCCTGATTGATTTTGAGTAAAGTGAGCAGAGCATGACGTGACCTATTTATAGGTTCAGTCATTCAATAACAGCATGTTCATATCTCGTTGTTAGGTTTTGAACGTTTAGGAAACTTATTCAAAGACAACTAGCTCATCATACGCTCCTAATTTCTTTGCATGATTTTTTTCCTGCGGACTTCCCAATTTATGAATCTTTCGCCAGAATAAAAACATTAAGTTTGGCATGCTCTAGTGATTTCTCTGTCTCTCCTATGCGCAACTTACGCCAAAACCGGAAGTTTCGGACATTGCATTAGCCACGATGTAAAGTACGTTTTATCTCTACAATCATTTGAACAATGCTCGTTACAAGCATCGAATTAATTCATTAAAACTAACAAAACTGTTGTCCCAGAGAAATTTCGAACATTCAAAGTACTTCCTTAGGATTATTCACCTTAGGGTGCACACTAAACACTAAAGATATTGTTTACGGTCCTAAGGCTTCAACCATAAATTACCGCACTGTCTTTGCATCTTTAATTTTTTTCCAGCTCTCTTAATCTGGTAGTCACCTTTGCTCACCATAATCAAACCAAACGCTATTTCTTTAAAATATTGTGTTTTATCTCTTATATAGCTCAAAGAAGGTAGTTATGTCCATTTTAACGACTAAAAGGGTCATTTCGAAACTTTCAGACAAGCCCTTTTGTTATGCAAAACAAAGAAATAAGTTATTTATCGTTCATAATCCCGAAGCAAAGAATTTCATTTTTTTTCAACTTAAAGGGCTTAAAGTATCGTTGAAAACAAATGTGATAGAAAACAACCCCAGTACAAAATTAACGGAATCAGACACAAATGGTTTCTGTTCTATGTAAGAAATACCCGCTCAGTTGTTCTGTTCCAAATGTGGGCGTCTTCAGTCTTCTTTTGAGTCCACAAAAAATGTAGTGCATCATTAAACGACTTCTCACGACTTCGGTAATGGCGTCTTGTTCTTCACCGCAAAAAAGTATCTTAAACTATCATATCATCACATGAAAAGTCAACGAAACACCAGCACCACAATATAATTTCCTCCTACGCATGATTGACGCTCACAATCGCAAATGAACAAGTACCAATGGAAACACATCAAGTTCCCCGCACTTACAAGGATTTTTTTACGGCTTACGGTGAGATTTCGCTCTGACGAAGGGCTAACGCTCGAAACGTCAGCTTTAGATACTCTCTACGGTGGCAAGTTCACTTTATCAGCTCATTTGATAAAATCAAATAATCTAGTTATATCCCACACCGATGCAAAATCTCAGTTTCTCTATAAACTGACCTCCTTTCCTTTAATCATGGAGAGAAACCCTTATATGACAGAGACAAATTAAAGCAACTGAAAACTCGGGACAAACTGTTTTGATGCAATTTTTGTTTGATCTCTTTCTGCATCGTTTAGCACGGATGAGTGTCTAAGAAATTACATTATCTGTGGAGTAATTCTATAATTTCTTCAGCTCCAAAGTTTTACATTACCCACCAGGTGCAGTCATCATCACAAGAACAGTCAGAGTGAACAGCAAACGATCCATTTTTGAGGCTCCTCTCTTGTGTCGAAGTTGAACTCTTCGTGCTATACCGAACATGAGCTGACACGCCAAATTTATGCATAGTACGTTCACTAAGGGTATATAAAAGGTAACAGACAAACAAAAATGGTGCGGGGGGCCATAAACCACCCCTATGTTCCCAGTCCACAAATCATTACATGCAATGTTATTGGTGTCATTACCTCGCTGAATAGGAACACAAAATGTCATACGCCTGGTTATCCTAATCAGATGTGGAATGATGATTGCTCATCTTCAAAAATTGAAGGTGTTCCACAGAAGTAATCCACGAACTGCACGCACGGTGGTAATTCATGGACCCCCGGTTCATGTCTTGTAAATTTATGATCCTTTACAACGCGCTAGCGTGTCATTGGCCTGTGCACAGCGTATTACGAAACCGGTTTAAGCAGATAGATTACCTGCGGAAACAACCTTTGGCACACTGAGCCGGAATTAAAAAATTTCAATGTATAAAGGTCATCGCGTGCAGTAAAAACACTTGGGTTCGCCTTGTGGTTTCTCTTAGCATTGCAAAGTCTATGACGTCATGGAGTAAAAGTGCATTGCTAGTCCTGCCTATTACTCGCCAATCCTGCACGTGAACAGGGCATGATTGAAGATGGCATAACAGTTTTGGCGCGGCGTGATGTTTTGTCATTTGCGTCATATTTTTCAAGTTATCTGTGGCATAACACGAAAATTCAAACTCCGTCATAAGATAGGAGCCACAAAATGAGTCGTTTGCTATTCCCTCTGACTGTCGTTGTTCTGATGGCTGCACATGGTGAGTACTGGGAAACTTTGGAACCGAAGAAATTGTAGCTAAATTTGAAAACAAAATGTTCACGCATCAGCCTATCTTGGGCAGCTCTGGAATGATAATTGATAATCTAAAACAAAATAAGAGTGGTCCAAACGTGATCCACGAAATAGGCGCATGGTGAAAGTTCGAACTCTCGCTAATTTGGCAAATGATTGAACTTGGATGTAATGAGATCTACATCTTCTCACGATCAGGGTATTGCGATCTTTTCGTCTTCTTTCGTCGCTGCCAACGTTCTGCAACTACGATTATATTGTCTATAATAATAAGTCCTTTATTCAGCGAAGAACAAGCTTAAAATTCGCTCAGGACTGAATTGCGTCCTACATTCATATGTCCCCAATATTGCAAAGAACAAACTTGAACAAATAAAGTCGGATTTGGAGACAATGTAAACTGACTGAGATCTTAATGGTTTTGATAGTGGATTTCTTCCCCTGGTTCACTTGGATTACTTAGGATACTTAGGATTACCTATTTTAATAAAAACACTTAACGAAAGCTGTTATATGCATTTTTAAGGATTACTGTACGGTTCACGGAGGAAAAGCCTATCATGTTGGCGGCCAAAGCCAATGAAGATACTCGACGGTTATTTTGCGGCCATTTGATCTGTTTCAGTGTCGCATTATTCAGCGACGCTTTTAATAAGAAACAAAATTTCTTGAGAGATTAAGCTACAATTCAAATTCTAAAGTTGTACAGTACTCACCATGTGCAGCCATCAGAATAATGACGGTCAGAGTGAACAGCAAACGATTCATTTTTGAGGCTCCTATCGGGTGTTGAAGTTGAACTCTTCGTGCTATACTGAATATTTACTGCCACGCCAAATTTATGCATAGTACGTTCACTAAGGGCGTATAAAAGGTGACAGACAAACAAAAATGGTGCGGGGGGCTATAAACCACCCCTGTGTTCCTAGTCCACAAATTATTACATGCGATGTTAATGGTGTCATTATGTTACTTTGGAGGATTCATATGCTGAATAGGAATAAAAAATGTCACACACCTGGTTATTTTAGTCAGATATGGAATGATGATTGCTCATCTTCAAAAATTGAAGACGTTCCACAAAAGTAATCCACGAACTGCACGCACGGTGGTAATTCATGGATCTCCGGTTCATGTCTAGTTAATTTGTTATCCTTAACAACGCGCTTGCGTCTCATTGGCCTGTGTAAAGCGTATTACGAAACCGGTTTAACCAGGTAGAGGACCCCCTTGATCTGACATAAAAATTCCGAAGCATACATGTCATTACGTGCAGTGAAAACACTTGGGTTCGCCTTGTGGTTTCAATTAAGTTTTGCATTTTTTTTTTTACTTTGTTGATTATTGTTGGCATTGATGGTCAAAAATCTCTCAGCATTGGCTAAAGGCCACGTGAAATCACTCAGTTTCGGTTCCAACAATGAAACTGGGATGTAACGAGATCCACATTCGCTCACAACCTGGGTATTACTGTCTGTAACGACAAGGAATTCAACGAACATCAAGTATTTGCAAGAATATCCAGTATCCGAATTAAACCGAGCTTGCCGATTTTGCCATAAACACTTCTAAACACGTACAAAATAGCAGTATGAACCGACTGAGTCGGACTGCACGTTCAGAGTTGGTTTTAGCTCTCTGATGAATAACACCTCGTGCACTTAGCGACCGAATTTATATTTGCATTTCTTTAGAACGTCGAAGCGCTTCAGTAGGTCTTCAAGGACCTTGTCATGTTTATCTTGGTAGTGTTTATATATGGAATAGATATGTAAGTGTCCGCGCGTATAACCCACATAGCCTGCATAACACAGGTCACATTGAAAACGATAAACAACGCATTCAATCTGTGGCTTTTTCTCTTCTTCTTTTGGATCTTGGTTGATTTTACGGCTAATGAACACGGGTTGGGCAGTTATCAGTAATAGATAGATATTTCTGTTATTTAATCTTGCATTCAGTTAATTTACTGCAGTTATTAATACTCGCAGAATTCATTATCCTAACATTTACCTTGGCAATGGCGTCATAGTTTTATGTAAAACCAACTCCAAAAGTTCGTAGATTCCACAGTACGTAGAATCCTAACAAAGACCATTGCGGGCTCTGTTTGCCCTACCAAATACCCGTAAAGAACTATTAGCTATGAGACCTATATTATCAGCAACGCACACATAAAACTTTGCTCTTGCCAAATTGCTCAATGAAAAGCTGAAACCCTTGACCCCTGAACAGTCAGTGGCGGATCTAGATGAGGGGCCCGTTTGTTGAAGTCCTAAATGTAATAACATTTAGTTCTGAATGTAATAAGCCTCCAATGCAATCGTTTAACTCCTTCAGTGCATTGTTGTTATGGCGGACATCCACACTGAGATGTTAGTGACAGCTGTTGCACCAAAAGATATCAGCAGTCGAAGTATGGTCCTTAAAGCGGTTTATTGATCGAGTTGAAGAAAATCATTTCCAGCCCAAAGTGGGCTAATGCTTGGTTGGAAGCTCAATAGGATGGAATCGATTGGTACGTAACCATTAAGACTTTTTGGAAAAGAAATTTACTACAATTGATGATGAACTAGCATGCTATTGTTGATTTTATCGTTTGTGTTAAAGTCGTTAGTAGTGATGCACCATTTTAGAGCAGTTTGAATGATTTTGCTGTGTCACATGTCAATCCAAAAGAAAATTATTATTATCAGTAGCGTTACTGAAATTTTGCACAACAATGTTATTCAGTGTCAATTGATTTGAATGAAGTTTTTGAATTCATTTTTAAGAATGACTCTCCTGATTTATTCAATTTTGAACCTGGGGTATTGCATTTCTAGCCCTCTATGGCTTTACTCCACCTCAGTAATCAGTTCATGTACCATAGGACTATAGGTGGAAACTGTTGAGCTTTCTTTTTTCATTCATCTATTTATCTGTTCATTATCTCCCCTCACGGCGGGGAGAAGAGATGAAGACAAAAAAATTAAATATAAACTTGAGATCAACTGTAAAATATATGTTTTCCCAATATTTCGGTTCGGGAACTGATGAACCCGTCATAAGAGGCTAAAGGAAAAAAATGAATGGTTCATTAGACCGTCCACTGACCATCATGTGTTGAATGTTTTAGCTCAATGGTTCAATTTGACTCTTGCGTGGAAAAAAGGCAACATGTTGAGACCTGTGATCGTGAAATGGGATAAAATATGATTGGTCAGTAGATATCTTGCTCTGTAAGTCACTTTGTCATATAGCTAGTAGCGCACGCGGGTAAGATGAGGTGAATCCTGTGTTCTGATTGGCTACCTGAGCGGGCATGATGGGCCCACCCTCGCCCGCTCGGGATCCCCCGTATTAATCCCACGCAAGAAAACTTACAAAGTTCGTAACTTTTGTACAATGTTTGCATATACATAGAAAAAAATAAACGACCCTCTTAGGTTCATTGTGCTGCAAACGCAGTTGGCTTTCACTATCGGCTCTCGAAATAAACAGGCCATTCTTGATTCTTATCAAAGCGAAATCTTTTGCTGTACAAAGAATCCTTTAATGATTAAGCCAAGAGAATATAAACTCTCTTGACCAAGCTTGTATGGTCAAGATTACTGGATATTAGCCTCGTTCTTTTTCTACTTTTTTATGGACCGAGACTTCGTCTCAGTCCATAAAAACGCAACAAAAAAAAAAGAACTCGGCCAATATCCAGCCATTTTGACCTCACGCTTGGTCAATAACGTATATGAATATATTTTATGCGGACCCGTACAAATCTGGCAAGGGAAGACAGTACAAAAAGTGCCCTTCCGAGCCCAGAATTTTTCTAACGTATAAGTCGGTGACGTCCTTTTCCTTGTAATTCGGTTCATGAAGTGTTAACTTCAGCACTGATGACAGAAGTATATCGTCAAAATCTGTTACACTTAAGAGTCTGAGCCAATGATATAAAGAGAGCTATTGATCAACGTTCTCATTGCTTTTGCATCCGTCAATTTGATGCCAAAAGCACATCAGTATCAGTATAAGGTTTTGTAGCCAATGCTTCTCAACCTACGTCTTTAGCAAATAAAAAGACGCTGATTAATATCAGTAAGCCCGCAATATTCCATGAATATTGGTCAGAGGATTCTTTGGTGCAACAGCTGTCACTTTAACATCTCAATGTTAGCGCACTTAAACGATTGCATAGGAGGCTTATTAAATTTAGGACAGTTATTACATTTAGGACTTCAACACCCCCCCTCCTCTTCTTAATTAGGGTAAAGAAAAAGAACCGCAGAAGGGAGACAAGCCGGCAGGGCAAGGGGACAAAAAACCGCCCCCCCTACCCCCCTTAGCTCAAGGTCTTGATCCGCCACTGTCAGTATACAGTAACGGATGCCTTTGAATTTACGAATGAAATTCGTGATTTGAAGATCAATACGAGTGAAATCTTGTTGTCATATTATGTCTCCTCGCTAGTCACCAATGTACCCTTAAATGAAACTATAGAAATCCTTGCCGACTGAGCTCTCAAGATCAATTGGCTCAATACAACGTACACATTGAACCTTACCAGAGCGGATCTAGTCGATCTCTTGAGCGTAGCCACCAAAGGCCAACTTTTTCAGTTAAATGGGACAAGCCCAAACCAGACGGAGAGTCTGGAGGATGCATTCCAAAAGCCCGTTTTTCCTTGCGGAGTGGAAGGGCGGGTTGCAAGATCCAATCTAAACGGCGGCCTAGAGTAGAATACAAGGGGTGGGCCTAAGGCGGTCCTTTTGCATTCATAATTTGACTTTCTATACTCACAGAATTCATTGTCCTAACATTTACCCTGACAATGGCGTCATGAAGACTAAATGTTTATTGGTCAACATTTCTCTTTCATTTTAATAACTGAAAAGAAATTATACAGAGGCAAGCAAAGATAATTTTGATGTTCGAGCACCAAGAACGTAAAAGTCATATCTTTTCGCCATATTGTAATATCTTCTGTACTATAAAATTGTTAAGGCCTCAAACTGCTGTTTAAAAAATAAAATTAAAATACCTTAACGCTCATGAAATCAAGCTCCTATCCAAAGGCCCCAAGTTCAGCTTCTCTTCTGGAGTAAATTAACGCACAATCACGAGCATCAATATTGCAGTCTACCGACTAGCCAACCAAATACGATGGAAACTCTACCGCGAGTCAAACCCAGCAGCCTATACAGCTGAATTTTTTACCCAATGCAAAAAGACCGGCAAACATTGTTTATCGCCAATGGACATAAGAAGACACCCTCGCGAGTTAGTTTGGGTTATTTGATTTAATAATTTAAGCAGTGTAACTCCGTGCGGTTATCAGAGAACTTGACCGTTTCCCTCCCAACATCTCGGAATCAATTCTTCTGAGAATTTGGTTCTAAATCAAACGATATCCCTATTGGATTTTTAGGTTATTTTCATTACCCGTCTGCCTGGTAGTGTTTTGATATTACAGGAAGAAATTATTTCTTCGTCATTCTTGAGAGTTAAAGGGTTGAGTAAAGGCATGTTTGAGTCGCGCACAGTGACCAGAAGAAGAATGGAACTGCGGCATCAACAAAGATTAGCTGGAATGTAATTACCGTATTTAAGCTTCAAAGAAAAGGACTCTGAATTTGGCGGAAAGGTTAAAAGGACATAGTCTTCAAAGGCATCCGGTTGTTTCGTACTTATTATTGTCTCGAACCCAAATATAGTCGGTTCGTACCCAAGTTTAAGCCGGTTCATACCCAAGGTAATATGGCGGCAAGTAAACAAAGTTTTACGAAATCTTTCTTAATTTAATCAGTTTTTGTTTCTCATTAATATACATATTATCGTTTATCCGGGCCCTCGATTATCAGGACTATTTCGTTTAGTCCCAACGAGTTGCACGCCTTGTGTTTTTCCTTTGCCTTTGGAGGGGCATCAGTAGGGAAGTAACCGTTCCCAAACCCCGCAAAATCACTAGAGACAACACAGAATAACGAAGGTAAGTGATCACGGAAGAACGCTCCTTGGATTACTAGTGAATTGATTAAACTATGTAAGAAGAAGAAGAAGCTTTACTTCTGTTTTTTCATCTTGAATAAACACGTTATGTTATGTTATGTTATTATCGCAAACAAGTTCGTGGTGTTGGCAAAAGTGCGGCACTCGCAGCGGATGAACGATGCCTTGATTCACATCTGGATCATCACTGCAAAGAATGGAACAATAAACTGCGTTCATTGTTTGAGATACAAGGTAGGTCTGGCCGAATCATGTTCGCACATAGCTGGTGTGCTATCTTATCTTGAGGCTTGGACAAAGGTCAATAGAAGGCTTTCCTGTATGCAAATTAAGTGCCCTTGGATACTTCCCAGTTTCCCAAACAAGATGGAATACTCTCGTGTCCGCGATATTAACTTTAAATCCGCTTAGAAAGTGAGAGCCGACCTTGATGAAACGATAGAGAATCTCAATGAGGGACTTAAAGTTTCTGAGAACTCGGAAGTCTTCATTGAAAGCTCCGTTCAGAAACCGAAAGTGCTAGCGCCGACACAAGCGGAAATGGAAAACTTATTTTGACCTAAACAAATGCGAAACAAAGCCTGTATTGCTGAGCTTGATGCCCACTGCTGATTCGACATCGTAGGAAATGTCAATAACCTTTAATCCTGGTTGATCAAGTTTTTGCTTCTTGGACTAGATTTCTTCCCGAAGCTGCCTTTCACGTTCTCCTGCGACACGTTTCAGCTCACGACCGTGACGATAAGTTTTCGCTCGCTACACTGGACTTTCGCGGGAAACGTACAAACGGGGGAAATTAGCTCGGTAGAGACCACTCGGCTTGCGAGAACGAAAACTCGTCACGATTTCCTGGCGCACGGAGATCTGCTTCTAGTGAACTTGTACGGACGTCAAGGATGAGACAGTGTTTGGTTCCACGGTACTTTTATTCTAGGTCAGGCCAACAAGCGACATGACCTCTAGCGTACTCAAGTTTGTAATCATCAAAGCTGTACAACGTACTTGCTTAAGAACTAACTGGTGTGAGGTGCTATTGTTACACAAATCGCAATATTTGAATAAGGACACAAAGGAGCGGAAAAAGTCTCTTTGAAGTTAAACAAAAACTACTTAAATATTCCATCTGTTTCTACGACGGAAAGAATTCCTAAATTAAAAAGACGGATGCAATAAACTCGAGGCCGAGTAAGAAACTTAGGTGCGAATTCACAGCTCTGGTATAGAAAATAATACCTATCTTAATTACAGCAGAACAGCTTAGGAAATAAAAACGGAAAAGCAATTTTAAAGTTTCTGCTTATCTATGCAAGGTTGGTTTGGAAACTATCGTATATGAAAAGAAATTAAAGTTACGAGTATAAACTCAGCTGCTATCTACCATGAAAACCAATTTTTCCAGAAAGACCATTAACACTTATATTTACCTAAAAAAAACCATGTAAAAAATAACAAAAGTGCCGACATACAGGTGCATATGATGAAAGCGAGTAACAACAAAAATCTCTTCAAAAGCTGATCGCAGAAATCCATTTGTTTCGCCTCTCCTTGGAAAGTTTCCGTACTTCTTCTCCTCGACTAGTAGTAGCTTGAGGTATATTCTTGCCACATTAATTCCTTTATCACGACCATTTTGGGTCCCACAGCCAAAAATCGCGCATAAAACCATTTTTTTAATCATAAACACAACTCGTGGTCATATGTTTACAGGCAAATGATGTGCACCAATAGGGTGGCCAATTAAAATGAGATCATGTGACTGAAAACCCATGCACATGCGAAGCCATTTAAAATCTCCTGTTTGCTCGAAATGAAAAGTAATAGGCAATGTTTTGATGAAAGTACCCCACACTCTACTCGTAATACGAGCCATCATTAAGACCAGAATTTATAATATGTAAGGCGTATAATTCACGCTATGGTACGCAGTCTTGTCAAACTGAAGGCGCGTAAGAAGTTTCCATAATAAATCATCTGAGCAACGAAACAAATTTACCAGTTAGTTTCTGCATAGAAGCCAGAAGGGCAGCATCATTTGGTAGAGTGATGAATTAATCCATTCACTTTCGTTCTATTTTGTTTGACTCTCAGACAAGCGTCGAAATGCTATAAATGTGATGGGAACAATGAACAGTGCTGTCTGGTAATGATGCCAGATATTACATATGTTATATTTTATTACATAGAGTGGGCAACGCGAATTAAAATATGTTTGCTTCGTTTTGATGGAGACGAAAACGAACACTTTTGAAAACGCATTAGCGTGGTCGAGGTTGATTAAAATACGCGAGTTCAGTCAATTTGTAAGTCTTGAACCCTTGTTTGGCTAATTCTAGCACAGGGAGACGTCTGGTCAAAATGGGAGCCTTATTCTAAGACATGTGGCACTGAAACACAAATGCGGACAGTTAATCGTAGCAACATCAGGCAAAACACTCAAGTATGGCGAGACTGCATCAACAACAAAGAGATTCAAACAGGAAGATGTCACAATAGACTTTGTACAGGTATGAAACTCTAGGCAGCTTGGTACTGTAATTTTTTAAATCTTCTCTGGTATTCTCACTCTCAGTTATTTCACAGTACACGAGTGTTTCCGAGAAAACAACACAGGTAGTAAAGCTTTCTTAAAGACTTGGGTAGCAGGAAGTGCTGCGAGACGTTGCTACAACCCGCATGATTCCGACTGGAAGCTGGCACAAAATTATCCATTGACTAGTTCCCCACAGTGTTCCAGATTGATTCTGGTACACCATGAAGTGAAAGCAAAAACTGCTTGTGGGACTTCCTAGCTTGTCGGTGTGCTCCCTCTAGGACCACGAACCTCAGAGCCATTTTATGAAAAGTCGCCGATCGATTATGCCCGTTCACAACAAGTAACTCATCAAAGAACTTCTGTGAATCTATGAATAGTGGCAGAACATACAAGTGCGGAAACCGAAGCTCTAAGTTTCGATTCCTCAAGGGGACTCAAGTGGTAGAAGTGTTCTGTCATCCTAACATCGGCTTAGAATCATATGTAAAAACAATGGCTTTGAACTTCATGTTCCAGGGCATTCAACACCGTTCGGCGAACGGTATTCCATACAACGATGCAGTTTGTAATCAAGAATTAATTGTCAGTGGTGCGATCGTCCGGTTTACCGAGGAGACAGAGTGCGTGGGGCCTCATGTAGAGTCAGGTCTGTCTTGACTCTGGTAATAGCTCCGTTTTTTAAACATTACTAACAGCAGTCCTTTTTTACGACTTCTCTCGCCCGGACGATTGCATCATACGATCGCACATTCAATCTTTATAACCTTGTGTCTTCCGTTTTTGCAAACCTCGCCAGATGATCAAAGTGTGGGATGTGCATTTAGCTAAAGTAGGCAAATGATTTCCCTTCTCAGCATAAAGATTTCACTACTTAACTACTCTCTCTGGGGGAAGATGAAACATTCTGCCTAACAGTAGGTCTGTTCTTTTTAAAGGTTTCTCCTCACGCGTTTTACAAGGTGCCTGGGAGTCGCTAAGTTCGATTTCCGCCGTTCTCTCGTGTCCGATCTTCGCTCCTCCCCGAGAAGTCCTTCTTTGTCATCATATGTAATCGCTGGCTATTATACCAGTATCTAAAGCATCTGTCGCCACCGTGACACGTTGGTAAATTGAAGGCCTTGTTTTCTTCCAGCTTGTTCTTCAAACAGCTGTTTCAGTCTTCCCCCATGCAGAAGTAACATCGTATTGCAATAACTGAACAGCAACGAGAAAAATTGAAAGATAAGTTGATCCGTATTTCACCTGGGTTGCAATGCAGTCCTTGAAATAGCTTAAAATATTAATTTAAAAAATGGAGATGCGTCGTCAAAATCGACTAACTTTTTAGAACTTCGTAAGCAATTCGTTATTCGGCATAACCTTTAGCATGTGTTGTCGGCATGAAATGATTTAAGAGGTCTGTACCGTTTCATCCGGCTACCAGGACGTACGAGTGCGTTGTGGGACAACTTTCGTTACCGAATAGTTATCCCGAAAGTGTGGAGGGAAAATTTTAGGGTGAGTCGAGAATTTGTCTACAGTTTGGCAGAAGATACTATGATGAATGTAAGTGCTCCATTACCGTACCGTTTTTAGCCAATGACACGAAGAGCAAAAACGATTCAAACACAAAAAAAGGAAAGAAACCCAATTTAACAAGGCGCTGTTAAAAACTATTTTCCATCCCATGCCTCTCTCTGCTTAGCTATTCTTCGCTTTGATGCACACACAACTGCTTGCGGCTCAGGTTAGGACTTTGGTATCATACAAAAGGAAACACAACCACGGGGTTATAACAGTTTGTCAAATATTTTGACTTCCGAGTCGCAAGATCGTGGAATCAGAAAATTGTGACTGGCAACATTTAGCCGGACAGTTATTCACAGAGAACACTGCTGGACATCTAGATACCCCATGTTCTGCCTTAGCCTGGCTTATGTTGTGAAAGCAAGCTGTGTTGTCCGGTTCATTGCTCGCAAATAAACACACGAGCAATTAAATGGAAGAAGAGCTGGCGGACAACTTAAATTTACAGCCACCATTATAATCACTTCCACCACTTTCAATGTGGTTATTGATATTCATGGAAGTAGTGTAACTGAATCATCGCTGTCTACGATTATTTCAAAACGTTTAATCCAACTGCTAAGCTTACAATACAAGGAAATTCACTCAGATCTAAAAATCTACTTTTTTTTTTTTGCGAGTAACATTGACTGTCCATCTTGGATGACATGTCTTATGACGCTCACAATTCTACAATCAAGGGGTGCTCGTAACACGTTAGCATCTTTGGTCTGCGCTCTACTTCATTAGTGCTAGGCCCAAGACAGAGGAGACGATCAACAGGAAGAAGCTGAAGGTCACAGGCGAGCCTGCGTTACAGGCATCGTCAGTGCAGCAACCAACCCCGCACTTGTAGTCCTTGATAGTATCTTTAAGCTTGTCACAAAGCTCATCTGCTGCGTCACAGGCAGCTTCATTGGCGCAGGAGTTTCCCACAGCGTTCACGTCATCTTTCTTAGACCAACTCCTAGCGCACCTGTCAAAGCCGGAAGGACATTCCTTCAAGTAGGTGTCCTTGTCACCTTCCAGTTTGCTCTTGCTGCAAGTATCTTCATTGCCAGAGCACACGTAGCATTTCAACGCACAACCTGATGACAAAGAAAAAAAATATATAACAATCTTAAATGTTACACACTGAATGACTTCGAGGAACGCAAGAAATTATTTTTGTTGTGGTTCATTGCAATCTAATTGCATCCACAAATGTTACAATCTGATTAGCCAAGCCACCCGCTATCTATTCCCTGATCGATTTTGAGTAAAGTAAGTTGAGCACGACGTGATCTATTTATATGATCAATCATTCAATAACAGCATGTTCATATCCCGTTGTTAGGTTTTGAACGTTTAGAAAACTTATTCTAAGACAACTAGCTCATCATACGCCCCTAATTTCTTTGCGTGATCTAGTTCTTGCGGGCTTCCCAATCACTTGAGGCAGTAAAGCGTTTGAAACACACCTTGTTTAGAATGAAGACCTGTATCGTGATTCATGTAAAAACCACACAGAAAAAAGCCACCATAAACGGCACCATAATAGCTAATCATTACTGTACCAGCAAAGAACATGATACTCAGTCACCTTACTCCTTTTATGAATCTTTCGCCAGAAAGAAAGAAAGTTTGGCGAGCCTTAGAGATTTCTCTGTCTCTCCTATGCGTAACTTACGCCAAAACCGGAAAATTTCGGATATTGCATCAGGCATAATGTAATGTAATGCAGATGTAAAGTACGTTTTATCTCTACAATCATCTGTACCATGCTCGTAAAACCATCGAATTAACTCATTAAAACTAACAAAACTGTTATCCCAGAGACCCCGGAAATTTCGAACATTCAAAATATTTCCTTAGCATTATTCTGGACTGACAAACCGAAAGAAAATTGCTATAAATTAGTTCAGTCACGGTGGGTGCACACGAAACACTAAAGATATTGTTTACGGTCATGGAGCCTCAACCATAAATTGTCGTACCGTTCCTTGCATCTTTAATTTTTTCCAGCTTTCTTAACCTGGTAGTCACCTTTGCTAACCATAATCAAACCAAACACTATATCTTTAAAATATTGTGTTTTATCACTAATATTGCTCAAAGAAGCTAATTATGACGATTTTAACGACTAGAAAAGTCATTCCGAAACTACAGACAAGCTCTTTTGTTATGCAAAACAAAGAAATATGTTGTTTGTCGTTCATAATCCCGAAGCATCGAGATTCTATGCTTCTTCATTAATGGGCTTAAAGAATATTCACCCGTTAGTTTTGTTGAAAACAAATGTAATGAACAACCCCAGTACACAATTTACGGAATCAGACACAAATGGTTACTGTTCTATTTAAGAAATACTCGCTCAGTTGTTCTGTTCCAAATGTGGGCGTCGTCAGTCTTCTATCGAGTCCACACAAAATGTAGTTAAACCATTAAAAAGACTGTTCACGACTCAATATAATTTCTTCCCACGCATGATTTACCCACACAATCGCAAATGAACACATACCAATAGAAATACATCAAGTTCCCCGCACTTGCAAGGATTTTTCTTCGGCTTACGGAGAGATTTCGCTCTGATGAAGGGCCAACGCTCGAAACGTCAGCTTAAGATACTCTTTACAGTGGCAAGTTCACATTATCAGCTCAGTTGATAAAATCAAATAATCTCGTCATACCCCACACCGATGCAAAATCTCAGTTTCTTTATAAACTGACCTCCTTTCCTTTAATCATGGAGAGAAACCCTTATATAACAGAGGCAAATTAAAGCAACCGAAAACACAAGACGAGTTGAGATGATGCCATTTTTGTTTGATCTCTTTCTGCATTGTTTAGCGCGAATGAGTATCAAAGAAACTACAACATTATCTGTAGAGTAATTCTACAATTTCTTTAGTTCCAAAGCTTTACATTACCCACCAGGTGCAGTCATCATCACAAGAACAGTCAGAGTGAACAGCAAACGATTCATTTTTGGGGCTCCTCTCTTATGTCGAAGTTGAACTCTTCGTGCTATACCGAACATGTACTGCCACGCCAAATTTATGCATAGTACGTTCACTAAGGGCGTATAAAAGGTAACAGACAAACAAAATGGTGCGGGGGGCCATAAACCACCTCTGTGTTCCTAGTCCACAAATCATTACATGCAATGTTAATGGTGTCATTTCGTTACTTTGGAGGATTTAAGTCGCTGAATAGGAACACAAAATGTCATACACCTGGTTATTTTAGTCAGATGTGGAATGATGATTGCTCGTCTTCAAAAAATTGAAGGTGTTCCTCAGAAGTGATCCACTTACTGTACGCACGGTGGTTATGTCATGGACCCCCGGTTCATGTCTTGTGATCGTTAACAATGCGCTAGAGTATCATTGGCCTATGCACAGCGTATTACGAAACCGGTTTAATCGGGTCGAAGATCTGCGAAATCAACCATTGACGCATTGAGCTGACATAAAAAATTGCAATGCATAAATGTCATTACGTGCAATGAAGACACTCGGGTTCGCCTAGTGGTTTCACTTTAGTTTTGCTTATTTTGGAGGTTTTTGAATGTTGTTGACATTGATGGTCAAAATCTCTCGGCATTGCAAAATCTGTGACGTCATTGGGTTATGGTGCATTGTTAGTCCTGCCTATTACTCGCCAATCCTGCACGTGAACAGGGCATGATTGAGGTGGCATAACATTTTTGGCGCGGCGTGAATTTTTTGTCGTTTGCGCGACATTTTTCAAGTTATCTGTGGCATAACACGAAAATTCAAACTCCGTCATGAGATAGGAGCCACAGAATGAGTCGTTTGCTATTCCTTCTGACTGTCGTTGTTCTGATGGCTGCACATGGTGAGTACTGGGCAACTTTGGAACCGAAGAAATTGAAGCTAAATTTGAAAACAAAATTTTCACGGATCAGCTTATCATGGGCAGTTGTGGAATAATAATTGATCATCTAAAAAAAAAACAAGAGTGGTCCAAAGGTGATCCACGAAATAGGCGCATGGTGAAAGTTCGAACTCTCGCTAATTTGGCAAATGAATGAACTTAGATGCAATGAAATCTACATCTTTTCAAGATCAGGGTATTGCGGTCTTTTCGTCTTCTTTTGTTGCTGCCAACGTTCTGCAACTACGATTATATTGTCTATAATAATAGGTCCTTTATTCAGCGAAGAACAAGCTTAAAAGTCGCGTAGGACTGAATTGTGTCCTAAAGATGATCAAGTTAAGCCTAAATCCAAACTACATTCATATGTCCTCATTATTGCAAAGAACAAACTTGAAAGAGCGGTAGCACTGAGTTATGATTCTGAACAAATAAAGTCAGACTTGGAAATAATGAAAACTAAGTAAGATCTAAATGGTTTTGATAGTGGATTTCTTCCCCTAGTTCAACTTAGGATTATCTATTTTAATACAAACATTTAACGAAAGCTGTTATATGCATTTTTAAGGATTACTGTACGGTTCACGGAAAAAAAAGCCTATCATGCTGGCGGCCAAAACCAATGAAGATACTCGACGGTTATTTTACGGCCATTTGATTTGTTTCAGTGTCGCGTTATTCAGCGATGCTTCTAATAAGAAACAAAATTTCTTGAGAGATTAAGCTACAATTCAAATTCTAAAGTTGTACAATACTCACCATGTGCAGCCATCAGAACGACGATAGTCAGAGTGAACAGCAAACGATCCATTTTTGAGGCTCCTCGTGTCGAAGTTGAACTCTTTGTGCTATACTGAACATGAACTGCCACGCCAAATTTATGCATTATTAAGGCATATAACACATAAATTGAAAAAAAAGATAACAGACAAACAAAAATGGTGCGGGGGGGCCATGAACCGCCCCTGTGTTCCTAGTCCACAAATCATTACATGCGATGTCAATGGTTTCATTACGTTACTTTGGAGGATTTATCTGCTGAACAGGAACACAAAATGTCATACACCTGGTTATTTTGGTCAGATGCGGAATGATGATTGTTCATTTTCAAACGAAGTATGTATCCTTCTGGAGTGGGAGAGTGGGTCTCTAGATCCAATTTAAACGGCGGCCTAGAGTAGAGTACAAGGGGTGGGCCCAACGTGGTCCTTTTGCATTCATAATTTGCATATCCCCAGGGCATTTTACTAATATACGCAAATGTCTTTCTTTTCTCGCAGATTTCATTGTCCTAAAATTTACCTTGACAATGGCGTCCGTGAAGACTCCAAAGTGTCGGTTCATATCGCTGTTTTTTATAAGTGTTTATGTATAACTAAACGTTTATTAATCAACATTTCTCTTTCATTTTATTAACTGAAAAGAAATTATACGGAGGCAAGCAGAGATACTTTTGATGTTCGAGCTCCAAGAACGTAAAAGCCATATCTTTTCGCCAATGCTCTACTGTGAAAGTACAACTCACAATCAGTTACATATTACTTACTTATTGACTGAGTAGGAAAGCCGACAGGATATTATTTGGCTTGAGGTCATGACCTACGAGCCTCGCTCATTGACTTCTAATGACTTCTTTGTGGCGGGTGGATTATGATTCAAATTGAGTGGCTAACTATTGAACGGCTTACCAAATCGAATGGCCCACCTTTCAATTTGAAAGGACTTTATCTCTGGTCCGGACTTATTCTCTGGTCGCAATTTTGTTCTGAATATTTATTAGTCACGATAAAGATCCGTAGCTATATTCCTTTTAAAACTACAGCATTGAAAAGTGAAGTAAAGGCGAGTATTTTTTCGCTTTCAAAAAGCAAAAGCAGTGCTCGCATGCGTCATAACTAATGAAAAACATTAGAATATGAGAAATGAATAAAGGGGGTAAGTTTCTAAAGAAACTGTGGTGCTGCGTCGGAGGGAGAGTATAGCAGGTAATTTTAATGTTAACAACTGAGTTAAAAACGTAAATTGACCACCGTAAAGAGTAAAACTCAGTTGTCAACATTAAATTAACTATTAGAATAGGAGGTCTGATTGGCATAAAGTTGCTTTGTTGCTATGTGAGATTTCACGCTCTATTGACTCGCTCGGCGTTGTATTCAAGATAACAAGCTACACAGCATCACGAATGTTTATTCACGATCATCTTGTCCTTGAGCGTAAGCGATCCGTCCTTTCGAAAAAAGGTAAAAAGTCTATAATTTTGCGATTAGAGAAAGGAGAAAAGGGAACCAATTTTTCAGCCGGCGGCGTTAGATATCTGATATCCGCAACAACAAGGAAGAGATCACGAAGTTTGCCGACAACCTACAGACCAGCGGAGGACTAGAGCGTAAATCGCTGCGAGTTGCACATGATGAACAGCGGACAGTGAAGATGTATACCATATTTTTTTCAAAACGATTTGTAAAGGTTTTGTTTCACGATTAAATGTCGCTTTCTTACTTATGAACAAAAAAAAGGATGAACGGTAAAACACGACGTTTCGACCAAACTTCGGTCATTTTCAAGTGAATAGTAAGAATGTCACGATGAATATATATATGCGTGTAAGAAGTATAAAAGTTTTTTTGGAAAAGTAAACGGACAGTAAGAACATATTTAGAAGAAATAATAAGAAGCTAATTAAAAATCAAGTTGAAAATAAAAATTAAAATTAAAAACCTTATTAAAAACCTTTGCAAGAATTGAGTCCGACTGCACATCGAGAGCAGGTCTCAGTTCTTGAATAAAAGACATTTCATAAAGTAGGCGGTCACTGTTGGTTGTGAACCAACAGTGCCTTGTTTACAAACAAACTTGTGACACTAATTTATTTTGTCATTGTTCAATGCCCGAGTGTTGGGACGACATGGTAGAGTGCGAGGGATTTAAGACTGCCTCGGAGGACGAGTGGCTCTGCATTGCCTGCAGATTGCCAGACTCTAGACGTCTTCGTAATTGTTAAGGTGTTATTTCGGATCCCTCAACAGTTAATAATCGTTAAAATTAGAAAATAAGATTGAGTTCGATTTAATAGTCTCTATTTTTGTTAAGACGTTGACATTAACGTTGATTTGCATCTGAAAATAAGCTGAGAGTTCCAATAGTTCAGAATAGAAACATTTTACTTATCATAGGCTTTACGAACGACTTGTAATACGAATAGTTTCTTCGTTCTTGTTCAAAAACTGTTTAATGTTATTATTTTAGAAAATCAGACTGAGTTATTTTTGTGACTGGACGCAATAGTCTCCATTATTGTTGTGACGTTTCGTACCAATGTTGATTCGCATCAGAAGAAGCAAAGATTTATTGTAACAATTTCAATAGTTCGAATGCAGTAGTTTGTTCACATCTAATTCTTGCGTATACTGGTCGACTCGCTATAATGAATGCGATAGAATTGGAACGAAATGGCTGTTGTTTATTTTTTTACCTTTATTAAGGAAATGTTGTGTTGTGATTGAAAAGAACATCGACAAAAAAGCTTGCAAATAGAATTAGTTACCAAATATGATACAAAGGATGCTTAAAAGGAAAGTTTGGTAGGGCGTCCAAATCTGCGAAGGGGGGGGGGGAGCTTCTCTTGGAATGGGATGGGCCCTAAAAGAGCAAGAACATGGACAAAGTTCTTAATCGTATCCGTTACTGGCAGCTATTGGTGCTTAAATAATCGTTAGAAGCGCCGAAAAGGTTACTAGACAGAACGATGGCGGAACATCTCTGTAGAAAAACAAACTTAAAAATAAAGGCAAAATCAGAGCCAAATGGGCAACGTAATTGAAAAAAACTGGCTATAGCTATGTTCATTTGTTTCTGAAAAAGTTCTACTGTTCGATCCTAGTTAAAAAGTCATTTCGAAGTTAAACAATGGGGAATGCAAGAGAACAGCAAAGTTCTTAAACTCTTTGGACAGAACGATGGCAATCAACAAATCAAATTGCGTGAACAAAATTTTATGTCTTCCGTGTGATTTTATGTCTTTAGAAGAGTTTCCTGCGTCGCGAGAAAACATTTGCCCAAAGAAAATTTTACTTCATTTTGAAGATTGTTCCTTCAGAAATTTACATACGTAATTTTGTGGAATTCTGAATAATGGCACATGGTGAACAAAGAGGTTTTCTTCACCGACAATTTTTTTGTAACGGAAGAGAGCACATTGCTTTTTCGCATGGCCAAAAGCTTCTAAGCAACCAATTCCTACATAACTTACATTTTACAGAAGACGAAGAGTCTATGAAAGAGCTCACGTTGGTAAGATTTCCCTAGACGTAATATCTTTGAAATGCGCCGCCGGTCGAAAATTCAACACTTTCGCTTGCTTCGGCGAAGCGAGCAAAAGTGTTCAATTTTCGACCTGTTATGACCAGATTCATCGATTCCAGAGGGTAAAAGCGAAAAGTTCGTTTTTCTCGAAAATTAAAATACATTTGAGGAAAAAAAAAATACACAGCCTTTCTTGTCTTACTAGGGTCTACTTGTGTGCAAAAATTGAGACAATTTGAGTTTTTGACCCTTGCCATAAAAATTTCATTTTTGTTTGATTTTTGTACGGATGTCCTCTTAATTCCTTTATCACGACCACTTCGGGTACCACAGCCAAAAATCGCACATAAAACCTTTTTTTTTTTAATCATAAACACAACTCGTGGTCATATGTTCACAGGCAAGTGATGTGCACCAATAGGGCGGCTAATTTAATGAGATCGCGTGACTGAAAATGATCTATTATTGCGCCCACGTTCGCACATGCGTAGCCATTTAAAATCTCCTGTCTGCTCGAAATGCAAATTATGTTTTAGTGAAAGTGCAATCAAAACTGACACTGTCAGTCTTGAGGAATTACACCAAAGAATTTTAAGGGATAATCAGTGGTTTGTGCGAAGTTTTCAATTGAGTCGCTTGCGACACCACAATATATATAAGGATCACGAACGTGAGCAAAAATAACTTTCTAAGACATTGCGCTGAATAATGAAAATTGTTTTCAGTCAAGTCTTTGGGTTGCTTCTCATGGCTACCGTTGGTAAGTACTGCATCGCCATCAACTTTTATTTCGAAGTGAAATTTTGAAATAACACTTAAGCATAAAGACGAGAATATTCTTCAGTCTTAGGTGAAGATGCATTACGTGGTAATGACCGCGATTACCACCATCATAATTCGCTAGCGGAATCACAAACTAGCAAAATCGGACGAGTGCGTCTTGTGGTATTGATTGTGGAATCGCTGACTAAATGTTATATGAATTCGCACAAGTACCTTCTCATAACAGACGTTTTTCTCTCTTAATCTACTAACATATCAATGCAACAACAGCAGTGACACGAAATATTTTCCGTCATTTTCATTAAGTTTCTTCCACTGTATAGTCGCGTTATTCTCGCAGCGATGACAGCAGCTTTGAAATTCAAGGAAAAGTCAGTTATTCGTCAGTTGAAACAATTTTGAAAACCACATTTTTTGCACATTGTCCATTAAATCAATATCAGCCTGTTTATCCATTACCTCAAACAAAAGATCTCTTAGGTATATTTGATTCAATGATATTTCGAAAGCTTAGAACATCTAGACGGCGTGGCAATTTTACAAAATGATCCTCATCAAAAAATGTTTGCGTTTTGAAATGAAAATAGATGATAGAGTGATAAGATGAAGACAAAGCGAATGGAAATATGTTTGCTTCGTTTTGATGGAGACGAAAACGAACACTTTTGAAAACGCATTAGTGTGGTCAAGGTTGCAATAGTGCATCACTACCTTGATTGAAATACGCGAGTTCACGTGCGGAAACCAAAGGTCTAAGTTTCGATACCTCAAGATATTTTTCTTTGTCCCACGCTCGTGACAAGACAAAAAGACGTCTTTCTGTTATTATTTAATTTACTTTTCAGTTGGGATAGGTATCAAACTCATTCTTGGTAAAAGTGTTCTGTCGTCTTAATATCGGCTAAGAATCATATCAGCATAAAAGAAAAAATGGCCTCGAATTTCAGGTTCCGGGGTATTTAACATCGTTCGCCGAACGGTGTTGAATACAATGATGCATGTTGTAATCAAGAATTAATTGTCAGTAGTGTGATCGTCTGGTTTACCGAGGAGACAGTATGCGATCAGTGTCAGGTCTGTCTTAACTCTGGCGATGGCTCCGTTCACTTAAACATTACTCATTACTAACAACAGTCCTTTTTTACGACTTACCTCGCCCGGACGATTGCATCATACGATCGCGCACATTCAAACTTTATATCCTTGTGTCTTCCGTTTTTGCAAACCTCGCCAGATGATCAAAGTGTGTGATGGGCATCCAGCTAAAGTAGGCAAATGATTTCCCATCTCAGCATAAAGATTTCATAAAAATTCCCTTTTATTTAATTCATTTTTTCAGGCTTTGCTTTGACGTGTTTCCAGTGCAAGGGCTTAGAACAGTACTGCCTACAAGAAAAGCTCCGGCGCAACCGAACCCAAGACGCTTGCAATCAGTACATGGACAGATGCATCATTAAAACCTTCATGCTTGATATTGGGGTAATCGAGATGACCAGAGGCTGTGGAAGGGAAATTGAGTGTAGATTAGCAGCACAAGATTGTAGGAGGAAGAGGAGTGCTCACCATAGATGCCATGTGACCTGCTGCGAAGGAGATTATTGTAACGGGAGCAATCAAAACATCTGTAAATTGCATGTTAATGTAATATTTCTCATGTACAGTTTTCTATCTGTAGTAATGAATCTACAGTAATTCAACGTTTCACTCTTTAACTTCTATGTGTGACCAAGAAAAAATTTCTCCTTACAATATCAAGCAGACAAGTGATGAGAATACAGAAAAATATTTTAACGAAGGTCAGGAGCTCATGATGAGCTCCTGCTAGGGTATCATTAGTTGATCCAATACCAAATTCTCCAAACTATAACAAGAACTATATGGCAGACAGTAAGGAGAATTACTAATGAGATTGTGGGAGTTAAAGGGTTAACATCAAGACCGTGTCAACAATTCCATGTTTAATGACAGTATTTCAAGGATAAGGAACATTTAAACGATGAAAGAGTAAGACACCGTCAGTCATAAGTAACCAGTCATTATTTATCGCCGAAGGGGGGTTGAAGGATTTTGGTTGTGTTACCACAACATTTGCCTGATCCCCCCCCCTCCCCTCCCCTCTCATTAGAAGTTAGTTGGCGGTCAATTTTTCTATGGTCCTCCTTTTAGTGACGCACGAGTGGTTTCCCGTCAATCTACCTGTAAACCGTGTGATCCCCTTAAATTCTTCCACCCCCCTCCCCTCCCATCCTCTGGTGATAATAATAATTGGTGACTAGCCCCTAAATATCAATCTATGATTATCTATATATCAAAAGCGAGATTTTTCCCTTCCTGTCTTAACCTGTTCTTCATGCGGTCGTCAAATGCGATCGGCGTAAATACAAGCGTCAACAGACGTATATTTTGAAACGCAGCTTTACCCTGATCTTGTTCACAACTGAAAACATCGATCAGTCTCTAGAAAGATGTCCGTCAACAAGTTTCAGTTCTTTAACTCCCATAAGACAGAATTTCTTCTTACAATGTCAATACAACATCAACTAGGCATGTGATAAGAATAAAGTAAAATATCACAACCACGGGATTATTAGTTGATCCAATACCAAATTCCCCGAACTAACATCACAGAAATTGTATCATCGGCTGTAAGGAGAATAACTGATCAAATATTGGAAGTGAAAGGATTAAGCAGGCAGTGTGCTGCTATTTGATTGGTTGAATTCAAAGGATACACTTTTGGAAGAAACAAAACATTAATGTTTATTTTTCTTAACACTAGTAATAATAGTCAAACTTTACTCTGTGTTATTTTCAAACCAAACCTAGCTAAAGATTGACATCAAATCGTAATTTGATCACTAGTATGTATTTCGCTCATATTTTGTAAAATTGGAATGAATAATCTCCTCAATAAAAAGCCCATCTGACTAGTTTGGTGCAAATTTGTACACATTCTGGGAAACAATACTATAATATACACTCTATTCTTAGATGATCAACTCAGGTCACTTTATCAGCTTGTTCAGACGAGAAATTTCTATAAAATATTCCCTAAATTTAATTTGGCGCCAGACGCAAACACAGCCCATTACTTAAGTACACAAAGTAAAAAACAAAGCACGCCGAATAAAACTCAGTGTTACTCTATTTACATTTAAATCCTACACATCAAGTTCACGAACAGAAGCCCTGACATCATCACAAGATGTGCTGGAGAGACACGTGGCCCAGGATTGCACCAGTCCCCTTTACAGCACCATGCATGACAAATCTTCTCGGTCTGAAGACCTCCCTTGGTCGCGCGCTCGCTTCCCCCGCAGCGAGATGTTTCTCTGTTGCAGATCCTATCACTTGCACACCGTTTATTAAAGATCTTTCTTCCATCTTGCTCCAGGAACACTGTGAGGCAGTTATCATAATCTCGCGGGCATCTCACTGTGTACTTTGCAATATCCGAGTGCATCATAGCCAGACTGCATTGTTCATTGTTCCCATCGCATTTATAGCATCTTGCCTGGCGTCTGTAGGCTTCAGAGAGTCAAACAAAATAGAACGAAAGTAAAAGTGATTCGATTATCACTGTGGGAAATGATGGCACCCTTCTGACGACTATGCAGGAACTAACAAGCACATTTGTTTCGTTGTTCTTATAGAAATTTCTTACGCGCTTTCAGTTTGACAAGCCTGCATACCATAGTACACCTTACACATTATCTATTCTGGTCTTAATGATGGCTCCTATTACGAGTAGAGTGTGGGGTACTTATTCAATTTTGAGAGAAGAGCGGGAGCTTAAATTTAAGCGCAACCTTTGTTTGTTACAAGACGCTGGCTCGAGTATATCTTGTATTTGTAAATTAAAAATGTAAACATGTATTCTGTGACTATGACATCTAATCCTGAGTTACGTTCGCACAAAAGTAAACTAAATTATACCCATTCACACCAGAAAAACATGTTTAGACGAACCGGGTTTCACTGAATGAAAATCAGCCTCAGGGAACTGATAAAAACTAAACTTTCCATAGGATTCAAATAATTTTCAACGCGTTACATTTGAAGTCGACAAACATCAGTTTAAGTAGCTTCTAACACCGTGTTTAATAAAACAGCTTTGAAACATGTTTAAGCTTTGGTGTGAATGGGGTTAATGACATCCAATCCTAAGCTAAGTTTGCGCAAAAATAACCTAAAAATAAGAAAGTGATTCAAACTCTAAATTCTAGACTTCGTGAAATGACAAAGAAGATATGGACTAAGTTCGATCACGAGGACAGAGTTCTCCCACGACAATGATAGAAATATGTATATTGTTCAGTCAAAAATTTCGACTCTCAGTAGAATCAATAATTCTATCTTAAAAACCAATTGAGATGAACCCAAATTTCCTCTCAACACATGCTTGCGTGCATTTGTCCGCGAGAAGAAAACAAATTATATGGTAGTTTTACTTACCAACAGCTACTGGCATTACAAATATCAGGAAATGAAGGAGATGATTCTTCATCATCGCTAAATGAAAGCCGGAGAATGTAATACTTGTCTCCCTTGGAGGGCGGAGAGTTCAAGTCCAGAAAATATGACGCAAAGATCGTCGCTGGGTTTTCATGAAATTTCTGCTCGTTCGTGGCTTGACAAAATTTGCATGGAGAACAAGGTGTTCTCCATGCGTTAGTTCTATAAATTCATAATTCATAAGCCAAAATCAAATAAGCAAACTAAATGACATTTGCATGTCTGCGCAGTACTTCAAAATGATGACAAGAAATCAATCAAAAATATGGGCCTTAAGGGGGCATTACGTTTGGTTCATAGTAAGATTTTGGTAGCTTACTTAAAAAATCATATTTAGTCAACAATGCAATCAAATCAGCTCAAACTTGGTAAGAAGTACACCCAGGCAATTGCCTACCACATGACATGTTTAAAGTTAACATATTGTTTCATATCAGACTCATGGGGTACAAATAGTCTTAACATGAATGTAGTGACTACGCCCAGTTCAACACCCCACTCAAATCGAGTATAATTTTCGAATGTTTTACCATCGTGCGGATTCTCTACGGAAAAAGCATTCAATGTACCTCTGAAATATTAAACTATAATATTGTGGCTTTCTATTTCGCTAATCTTCTAACTTGAAGGTAAAGTTTTTCCCTCGTCATTTTTACCTTTTCTCCGAGCGGTTGCGTGAAATTAAAAAGGTGTTTTTGATCAAAACACGATCGAGCAAAGGGTCTCGGGCGATATCTCTTTTACGCAGGCGTAAATTAAAATCAAAAAGAGGAACAAATTTCCTTTGTTTTGATATGTAAAGTGTCGAACAAAAAGCAGATTTACGCTCGTCAAATGGCGTTTCAAAACAGCTTTATCTTCCTCCTTTTGATTTTTTCCTGTTTTTTAAGCGTGAAAGCAGTAGGAGAGGGATCGGGAAACTCAGAAAGCGCTTCTGGAATTAATCTGCCATCGTTTATTTACAAGATAAACAGGTAAGATTTGTGAAGTTCGTTGAAATATGAAGTCTAAATAAATGCCCTTTTTAAGCTTGTTTGCTGGATTTTTCGTAAACTTCCCAGATTAGTTTTTCGTTTCAGCTTACTAATCTATACTATTTCAAAGCAATGTAAAGACAAAGACGGAGAACCATGAGTCGTTCCTTTCAACAATCGTAAACAAAGTGTTTGAGCAATCAGATATACGAGGTGTAATAATCAATAGCTGCATATCAGAAGTCTTCAGAAAGAAAGTATTCTGTCTTCAGAAAGCTGTCAAGAAAGCTAGTAATCGTGGAGGAAGGCAACTAAATGCACTTCTTAGCAAGTTGGAAACGGGTCCTCGGTATCAATTTAATATCATATCAATCTCAATATTATACAGTTTTGTATCTTTCTTCCGTGAATTCGCCTTTCTAACGAGGGTGTATGTTGAGTATTTATTGCAAAATCGCTTTGTTTTTTTAATTTCCCTCTTTGGCCTGTCCGCCATTTTGAAAATTCGTAACGGAGAGCAAGTGCATTACGTGGGGTTAGTGGTTGTGTACACCTGGAACCGAGAAAAACAAATGTTCGTCGTACTGGGGAAAGAGTTTGATATGTTTTACGTTAATAATTAACAAGTTACTGTAAAGGGCTATTTTGAGGGTCAAATCTGGGCCCGTCACTTTTTTGTCATTTCCTTTTAAAATAATCACCTAATTTTTGGCACAATAGAGCATTATCCAATGGACTGCAACCTCATCGAGAGTTATTGCCTTTTGACCATTTTGGTTGTCATGGTAACCAATTAGATTTTGCAAAAGACAAGTTATTTTTCAAACCAGTTGTATGTTAGAAAAAGAAATTTTGCTCAACTAGGTTGCAGATAATTACATAACAATTTGTACCAAATTTGGTGTCAATAGCTGAAATACTCTTCGAGAAATTTGAGGGGCCAACAAAAATTACCCTGAAAAAAGCTATTTTCGGAAAATTGCAATTAAAACTTCAGTTTTTTCTAAATGTCACTTGTAAGACTAAAGACTCCATAAAATGGCCTTTTGTGCATCACAGCACACCTACTTGAAGGTATGCTTAGGTTCTTTGGTTCTTTCTCTTTTTACCCACTCTGAAGAGCTGTGTTTCGTCGAAACCTCCAGCTTCGTAGGCTATGCCTTCCTGGGTTACACACAGGTCTTCTTCTCTCTGCTTAGCTTGTCTTCATGCAAGTCTACATCGTTTTTGTTTTTCTTAAGCTCTGTGCTATGCTTACTGAATTCTTCCACTGTCTCGCTGTCTTCCTTCCTTCCAATTGTGTTTTGTACAATGTTGAAGGAATGAAACGTGACAAGACGATTAGATTGGATTACCTGTGGTTGCCACGACAACCAAAAACCCACAATGTACTAGCCTTCAAAAGCGGCTGTTTTTTAGCGGCGCATGAATAAATAAGCGTAAAAAACATATATTGTCTGAGACTAGATGGATTCCAGAATCATTTAAGAGGAAATAAAAAAAAGGGTGGAATTTTCAATTTTTCTTCAAAATCCAACCGTAATGCCCCCTTAAACTGATGGGCAACACATGATGGAAATCAAGTCAAAGGAAATGTAGTTCAGACTGGCTGGTTAAATTTAAAGCTTTTGTTTGTGCCTAACTCTGGCTTATAGTGAATACAATAAAGGTAAAAAGTTTTTTTTTGAATACGAGCAAAGAAATTAGTTTCCTAAGCTTGAGCTGGTTTCATATACTCCTTCAACAGATCGAGTTCTCACTGAGGTATTCAAATTTACATTGTAAACTACACAGTTTTAAGATTTATAAAAGCGTTTTGCGTTACTTAACTTGTCTAACTTCGATCTAGTTTCTCTGTTCTAAAAGGGCTGACTGTTGTTACTCATAAAACAAGGCGGTAACAAAATGTCAAAGTTTTCTCTATGGTTACCAGTGGTGTTACTGTACGAAACGTAAATGGCTTATCTAAATTGGGATTCCTGTGGCTAACTTCAATGTTACCGCAATTATGTTATTAGTAATGGTCTTGGCTTCCCCTGGGAAAATTTAACTTGTTTTTTGTGCATGCTTGTTTTACACATTTGAAACATAATTTTCAATATTCGAAAGTTATCAGTTAACTTGATTGATGACGATCGCTGTTACAGGATATCAATAAGGGCTACCCAATCATGCCCAAGTGTACAGCTCAACTCTTACAGTGAAGGATGCGCAAAAAAGCGGTGTGACAAACCTGAACAGAACGTGAATTACCAAGCACGCAGAAAAGATTCTGAAGGCAAATGCGAGATGTCCTGTTGACAGATGACATGTTATGTTGGCTCCATTTCATGTTGGGGTCAGCTTGTTTTCTCTACTAGCATGCGCATTTTTACATGCTGTTTTTTATCTGATATATTGAAGGAAGGGCAGCTCTGATAGTAACATTTCGAGACTTGAATATCTCATTAAGATGCACTTTTCGTCTTTTCGTTTTATTTTTTCTTTTATCATTTTGTAATTTCCTAGTCTCATATTTTGTATCACGTCCACAATGTGAAAGGTACCTAATTTGCAACCTCTGGATTTACATGCGACTAACAGTGAGATACAAAGTGTCCGTGATCAAGATCATGAAATAAATTGAAACTTAATCATGTTCTATTACGCCTGATTTTACTTCAACTTTTGTAAAATGCTTGTAGGATCAAACGAACCAGCTGCCCTTCACGTTGACGCATCAATTAAGGGCTTGGATGTAGCTTTGTTCCAAAACAACAAGCCAATAGCCTTTGCATCGAAAGCACTTACCCCTGCGGAGACCAGATATGCCACTATTGAACGAGAGCTATTAGCAGTGGTCTATGACTGCGAAAAGTTCCACTCGTACCTCTACGGAAGATCGTTTGTGGTCAAAACAGACCATCGCCTCCTAGAACAGATCCACAGAAGGAACCTGATGCAAGTACCTCCAAGTCTTCAAAGAATGATGTTGTATCTACAACTCTACGACTGCGTTGTTAAATACCTTCCAGGAGGAGAAATGGTCACAGCTGACACCCTGTCACGTCTTTCACCTTTGGATGACTTTGAAGTATCAGATATGAACGTGAAAATTCACCACCTAATTAGAATCACCCCAGCTAAAATGGAAGAGTTCAAAGAAGAACTGCAAAAGATGAAACCTTGCAGCTTCTATCCCATCAGGTTGTACAAGTTTGGCCCGATAGAATGAGGAAAATTGACCCAGCACTAAAACCGTACTGGCCCCCACGAGATGACATATCAGTGGAAGATGGGCTGATACTTCTTGGAAGCCGTGTCATAGTACCTGAATCCTTGAGAAGGAGCTCATGATGCCATCAGAGATCCCTTCAAGACCGTGGCAAACAGGGAGCGCAGATCTGTTCTATGTACAACAGTCGTGGTTCCTCATAGTTGTCGATTACTACTCCAAGTTCCCATTTGCTAGGAAGCTTCATAACTTCACAACCAGAGCCATCTATGCACAAGATCCCGTGAGAAAGACGTGGAATCCTGCTAGAGTCATAGATCAGGGAGATACGCCCCGCTCATATATTATAGAAACTGAAATTGGTGCTAAACTACGAAGAAATAGGATCCATCTTAGACCAAACAATGCTTCCAACAACCTAGCAAACAACTTGTCGAGTTGCATTCCTCAAGGAAGTATAGCTTCACAATCCTCGAGCGCCAATCCACAATGTTCCACCTTAACAGAAACTGAGAAGGATCAAAGAAAATCTCGCTCGGGATATGAAATTCTTGCACAGGAAAGACTTAACCTCTGACTCTTGCACTAGTAGTTATTATTAGTAGTATGATTATTATACTATGTAATCATAGTAGTATGATTAGTACCTTGTATATGTATACAAGATCCTTAGATATTGGCTCGAATATATGCTTTTGTTTGTTTCCGTTTCAATTAACAAAATTTTAAGAGAAGGGGATGTAACATATTAGCACGTGATAATTAGCAGCTATTGTAAGTTATATTTTGTGTACGAATACTTAAGTAAGCTGGCACATTATGCAAAAGCACACAGAGCATACACACGCGGTGTGTCAAGAGTCGAATGTTATCTACACTGCAAGGAGTAAACTCCAATGTTGTAAGAGCCTTATGTTTGCAAATGCCCCATCAGGGCCATTAAACTAGGCAGATATTATATATTTTTAATAATAAAACAAAGATTTCAAAGAGAACAGCTGTCTTATCGTTATGATTGATGAAACAAGGATCCAAAGGGCGATTTGGGACGCAAGGCAAACGAAAAATTATGCAAGGCAAACGCTGCCAGCAAATTCACGTTCTTTATAAGAGCCACTTGAACGCGAAATGAACTGAAACAAAAAGCTTTGATCTGTTTTGCTTGACAACAGATTTCGAGCTACGTGCTCAAACTAAGACTGTATTTTGTTTGCATTATAATCTTATCTCCTCTTCAGAACTCTTTAGACAAGTACGAAAATATCCTTTGTGAGGGGAATGGCAGGAGGGAGGGGAGGATATTATCATAGCATATCTGTCCGGGTCCTAAATAAGGACTGGGTTCTTAGCACGTGATTACTAACGCTTTTCAAGTCAAGTGTAATGTCCGCTGACCAGTGAAACACTACTAAAATGGCGACTGTGGATTTGGGAAAAATTTTGGCAGATTGAGAAACTCGTAACCTTGAACTTTATTACATACGATTGATGACTCTGAAATAACTGTAAACTGCTTGTTCGATACTTAAAGAATGCCTGAACACGTAAAGCACATCGAATGGGAGGACATGGACAAGAGAAAATTCTATTTAATTGGTCCGACATTGTTTCTGGGCATTCGAGCTCTGCTGTATCCGGCGAACCTGGTGAAAACCCGACTTCAAGTTCAGCGCAAGAAAGCTCTATACACGGGATCCTTCGATACTTTTGTCAAAGTGATACGTTTTGAAGGTGTAAGAGGACTTTATAAAGGATTTCTGGTGAACAGCTTCGGTCTTTTATCAGGGCAATTTTACATCACCACTTTAGAATTGATTCGTGCTAGGACGAAAGAATACAGCAATGCCGTTCGAGGGTTCCTGGCCGGCGGTTGTGCCTCGTTAGTTGGACAAACGATAACAGTCCCAGTAGATGTTATTTCTCAGAAGCTCATGGTACAGGGTCAGGGTGAAAACACGGCCAAACTCAAGGGAGCATCGACCATCATAAAGGAGATAATAAAATCGGATGGACCGTTAGGGCTTTACAGAGGGTACCTGATCTCTCTAATGACTTATGCACCCAGTAGCGCAATTTGGTGGTCCTCCTACGGTATTTACACAGGACTGGTGGGTAATATTGTTATAACAGGAACACCTCATATGCTTGTTTTGGCAATGGCTGGTACTATGGCAGGGTTTACCGCAGCAACGCTTACAAATCCATTGGATATAATGAGAACCAGGTTGCAGGTTTGTTGTTGTTATTTTTTTCTTTATGTGATTGTTCTGCACCCATCTAAGGTGAAATCACACAAGTTCAGAGGTTTTGTTTAAAGCTCATCTGGTTTCTCTGCAGATAAGGTTATCAAGAGTATAGCCATTCCTCCTGGATCTAATTCTGTTACATCATAGGTAGCCTCTCTTAACTTCTTCAGTTTTTATCGAAAGGGAGAAACCAGATGGAAAAAAGCACCTAGAGCATGGAACAACAAGGCAACTGAATTCATTTTGATAGAGATTGTAATTCAACAGACCACAAAATTTCTAATGTGAGGAAAAAAGGATACTATTGGAAGAAAAAATAAATGAACCCTAAAATTTAAGCAGACTAATGAATAATTGTAGGATACATGTTATACAGATAAGAATTTGAATGAAAATCTACAGAGGTGACCTCTCACCAGAAGGGAAATTTGGTCTTATAGATAAACAAAGCTTCGTGGTTCTTGTGGTGATGGTAATGTTAACTTGATGCTGATCTGGTGCAGATGACCCTTTGGTTTAAATAAGTTTCCTCTGACACCATATTTTAATATGTATAAGTAATAACATGATTTTGAATGCAATTTGTTGTTAATAAGTGTGAGTAAATTTTTCAAAAACAATTGCAATTTTAAGTCTTTTAACACCGAATTGCAAGAGAAATCATGTCATCACTTGTTAATAATGTACATGGAAAACATTACAGAGAGTTGAGACAGATGACTTTTGAAAGAGTGTGGGTGCTAATTGTAACTTGCACTCATGTTACAACTTTTCACTTGTGTTATATCATAATGCACTTGTTTTCAGCCAATCAGAAGCATGTTATCTTTTCATGTGTATTATTATATATTTAAACACTGACTGGCATCGCTATGTCTCCCAAGTTCGGCCAAAAAAATAGTTCTATGAAAATATTGTTATTGGTAACAACTGGAGGATTTTTCAGAAGTGTAGACAAGGCTGGCTAAAAAGATTTCCAGTTGACCTGCATCGTCTAATGAGCATCTTGACTTGATGACTAAAGTTGTAGACCAAAAACCTGCATGGTAATCAGTTAAGGTCACTAACTCAGTACTCTCAATAAGTTTGTAAGTAAGAGATTGGGATAGAAAGCACAGTAGATGGCTGTAGAAGTCAGAACAGAAATAACTAGCTTCTAGGGTGACTGAGGGCATGCACCTGTGGAAAATTATGTGAATTGTAAAGAGGAATTTTACAGCAGTTTACAAAACTTAAATTAATTTTGGGAAAGTGGGAAAGCTAAATTACAAAATTTAAATGAGCAATTGGAAAGTGGTATATTTTGATCTGTTTCACCACCGTAATTAGTTAGAATATGTGGGCAAATTCATTCCTTTCCAGAAAGAAAAACTCCATAATTTGTAGATCAATGTATTGGTTAGAAGATCTAGTAAGGCTATTTAATTAGTGATAGAGAATGGTGGAAAGTTCCAGGCACTGCCTAACAAAGAAAAAATGTTTAAATGATCCTCCAAAGTAAGCAACTTTGAGGAGCAAAGTACTTCACAGTCTATTGCCAGTAGCCATCTTCTATTAAACCTTTGCCAACTGCAAATTCTTACAGTCCACTGTGCTGGCACTTGTTTTATTGGTGGGGGCAACCTATATGATATACCTGTACTCCTTCTAGCTTGTGCCAATTGCCCAAATGTTACTGATTTTTCTATGATTTTATAACTGTAAGAAATCTTGCGCTCTTCAGGTTGGTGGTGGAAAATCAGCATTAGTGTTCCAGATGTTTCGTTCCCTTCTGCACGAGGAAGGACCAAAGGGGCTAACCAAAGGTTTATCAGCCAGAATTCTAGCTATGGTGCCATCAAGTCTAGTGATGGTACTTGGATACGAGACTGTCAAAAGACTTAGTTTGAAAACAGTAGAAAAGGAGTTACATGTGCAAGATGAAGGTTACTTAAAGGCATCATTTTGATGAAACAATTCATGCTTGATTGATGTATGGAGATTTAAGTTAATCTTCACAAGGGAAAGTTTTTGGACAAATTTATATCAAAACAAGATAAAATAAATGTCCCCATTATGGTTATTGTTATGTATACCCCTTTCTAGACATGAGTGAATTTTTAGGCAAGCAAAATGAGCTACCTATGCTCCCCTGTTTTCTCTTGCATCATATTTTTTCTTTCTTGTCGTGTTTTTTCATAAATGGTACATGTAATGTCTTCTTGGTATGAAGCAAGGGTTAGATCTGATGACACTATTTTGGCCTCTTTTGATAAATTCTCCAAAATTGAAATTGTATTAGATAACAGATAACTGTCTAAAGTCAAACCTGTACTCAGTGGTCACCCTTGGGGAATGGCAGGGTAATTGCTTGATACAGGTTGACCACTTAGACTGGTTCCACAGAATAGGGGTATTATCAAAAAAAGCCATTTTATATCATGATTGACCACTTGATCAACAAAAATCCACTCAAAAAAATACTACTAACATTGATTTTGGGAAATAAGCATGGATTACCAGTAAACTTTACTTGAAAGATGATTCTTAAGTAGTTTTATTTGAGTGAAATCCCACTTTTTAATGTAATGTCCAATACAAAAGGAGGACAATAGAAACAGGTTGTAAGGAGTCAATAGGGGTGACCGCTTAACAGAGGTGTAAATTGGATTGTTTAAGTGGAAATTTTCAGAACTTTGAAAACTGACCACTTGATATAGGTTTGACTGTAATTTTTGTTAATAGAGTATTCCAGTAAAGGCACCATTCACTCATCAAATTTGCATGATATACCTACATGCATATGAAGATATTTCCTTCATTTTCCATTTTATCAAATTTCCAGTTGCCCCAATGATAGAAATATTAATTTACTTGGCTTTTAGCACATTAAATTAGGGGTCTTAATTGAATACAATTGCATAACTTCCAAAGAAGACAGAATTATACTTGCTTTTTCCAAATCTCCAGATCACTAATTAGTCAAAAAGTAGTTTTAAAAAGCTCTCTGAGTTATTTTCAGACATGTGTCTAACTCAGGCCAATATTTTGAATGATTTTCTATGTAGGATATTCATGGTGGAGTGGAAAGTTGGATATAATGGTTAAAACTTGTAAAAAAAAGGATCACAATGGTAGAAAAATTCCCCGTGTTCATCATCAAAAATTATTTATTTTGCCGAGTCCAGTGGTCTTTAGCACTTGGGTATATGCAAGAATGTTCTAACATAGGCTTGAGTTCTCCCTCAGTCACTCTGTGGCTGTATTTTTTTTTTAATTTCTTTGCTTGCTTGTTGGATGCTTGAGTGAGACATACAACTTCTTTGTCGTTAGAAACATGTGATGTTACAAATTATTAATTTATTTTATCAGTAAATGACAAATTCAGATACTGACTGGTAAAGGGCTTATTTCCATAAGCCATATATCCTAGCAGTAAATAGCTTGGTGTATTTACCCAGAAGGTCAGTCAGACTAATGAGAATGTGTGAGTTACAATAATTTATTTTTTCATCCTTGCCATGAATCATAGTTTTTATGCTAAAATAGCTCTAGTATTCTATCAAGTCTAATCAATGATTATTTTGTTGTTTATGTTAATATATTCCCCAATTTTTTTTCTAGTTTTGTCACACAGGTAATTTATTCTGCTGTACCAATGGTGAAGTAATGAAGAAACAAAATAAATTGTAATGAAAATTACTCATTAGTGTTAATCTGATTATAAGTAGGAGAGTTAATGGCATACGTGTAAGAGAGGTGCAAATGAGGCCTGGGCTTATTTTTTCTGGGGAGTATTAATTGGCCCGAAGTCGGACAAAAACGAACGAGCAAGCGAAGTTAGTTTCCGTGCAAACAGTCCGAATGGAAAACTCCCGAATAAGTAAGAACCAATCAGAACGCCCGGATTTATCTCTGGCCAACTTTCCCATTCCTTGCCATTTAATTAATAAAAGGGTAATTTTGTATTCTCAACTGAGTTGGAAACGTAAATTGACCACCGTAAAGAATTTAAAAGCTGACGTTTCGAGCTTTAGCCCTTTGTCAGAGCGATTGGAGGAATTGTGGGTTGTGTGAGGGGTTAGGCTTGGCTTTCGGCACCGATGGCTCATATGAATGTTAAATTATTTTACTCAAAATTTAACCAGTAACTTTTATTTTTATTATTTCATTTCGTATCTTATGATCTGTTGAAAATTTTTTAAAAATCCAGGATAAAAATCAGCTTAATTGCCTTCAAAGTTTAAAATACCCTTTCACTCTGTAGTTATTTCCTGGTGTGTCTCCATCTTTATCTTTTCTCTCTTTCTCGTATGGTTCTTTCCAATTGATGTCTGGAAACATGCAAAACTACAAAACCGAATTACCATTTTTGAACCGAATGATCTACCTTGTCATGAAAGTTTAAAAAAATCGCAGCAAGGCCTAAATGAAAATCAGAAAAATTGGGAACAGCTTTGAGATCATTGAATCGCTTCCATGTAGGCAATTCAAAGCATTAGTTTCGCACCTTCGTCGGACTTGTGTTTGTTTTGAATCAAGATATCTTTTCATTAAAGGTGATGTTATAAACTTTGACCTCTAAAACGTTTGGCATGCGGCAATCACTTTCGAAGGCAGCTGAATATGGACCTGCTTTCAATAATTTCTATGGAAAAGGACGCTCGTGTTTCAGCGTGAACATCATGGTCTAAAAGCGAATTACACACAATGCTGCAATTGTTTAACATTTGTTTGGAAACACTGCTGGAAATAACACTACACGTTGTCTGCACAAACATTAGAATAGGTTTTGCTGTTTGCAGAGTAGCAAATGATTGGATTAAGATATAGCAGACAAGCCTATTTCATTGTAAAAGGTCCTAAAATTTACTTAAATTTACACAGTCGTTTAACTACAAACCACCGTCATTTCTGAAGTAAACAGACCTTAATAACTGGAAAAACTCATTGGGGTAATAGAGCTTCGTTGCACAATCAGTGGACAGCTGCGTTTACTATGTGAAATCCTGGATAAAAAAATGTTGACCGATCTCTGAACAAAGTGTATGGTATATATTTGTTCTTCAGATACACAACTCAAACTAAACATTAACCCAGTTACCAGGTAAGGCAATAAATTACGTTGAATTTCTTTTTCTATTTCAAACAGATTCACAGAGCACCAAGTAAGTCAAAGGGTGTAATATGAGGGCCTAAAAGTTATCTGCATGTGGTAGACGTTTCACTGATTCAAATCGATTTACTCAACCAATAATTGAGAACTAATCCTTAACCGTTTCTTAGCGGTAGACTTATGAGCTTTTGGGCATGAGTTTGTTTCAATCACTGGCTTTACTTTTGATTCAAAATCTTGACTGTGGTAGATAACACCGGAGCCCTCTATTTAACAGTTTAAACGGCGGAATGTGCCTGACATCGGTTAACCGTTTAACTCCCAAGATTTCATTAGTAATTCTCTTTGTTGTCTGCCATATGGTTCTTATGATGTTAGTTTGGAGAATTTTGTATTGGATCGGCTTATAATCCCCTATAATTAATATTTTCTTTATTCTCATCACTTGTCTACTTGATATTGTATCGATACTGTTAGGAGAAATTCTGTCTTGGTCACTCATGGGAGTTTAAGGGTTAGGTTACAAGATACGATCACGACTCTATTAATGATGAAAAAGCCAAAGGAAATATTTGTTTAAAGGGATGCTTTCCTGCCCATCCAGCGATTTTACATCGCATCATTTTTCTGTGTTGGTTTCTATTGGTCGGTCAGATTCACGCTTAGTAAGCTTCTCTGCTGTCTCGTTTCTTTTTCAGATCACCGAGTCAAGTCGCATAACAAGTGAAAGGTAAGTTTCTGAAAGCGATCAATCAAGCACACGAATGAACAAAACCGTGAACGAAGGAGCGATCGAACGGTCAAATGAACAAGGGAAGGAGTTGAGAAGAAGACTTCTAGGGAACGAAGGGCCAGTGAAATGATGGACCGAAGGTTGAACGAGCCCGTGAACTGACAGATGCACTAACACACGAACGAATAGGGCAGAACACAAGTACCGACGGACGGACAGAATGGTGGTGGAATGTATTCATTTTAAGAAATGCTCAATATTCAACTTAAAGTTGAGGAATGAGATGTAAAGAAAAATCATTCGTCAAAAATATTATTTCCGAAATATCATTTTTCTTTTTCGTACTTCACAGATGAAGTCTGTCCTGATTGCTCTCCTCTGTGGCTTACTTTTCGCTGCCAGCTTTGCCTCTAAAAACCAGGCGTGTTACGACGACTGCAACAAAGAGCATATCAAATGTGTAGGGGATTGTGTTAACAATGGAAATAACAACTTCAAGTGTCTCTGGGAGTGCAGAAACAACTATTATGCCTGTACAGCAGGCTGTTACCAGCCTCCAAGTCCATAACCGACGTAAATCAGAGTCAAGACATTAATTCAAGGCCGATCAACTTCAGTGTGATATGTGAGGCTACTAAATAAAAAGTGAAATGCATGATTTATGGGAGGAGTGTGTTTTTTCTGACGATGTACAGAGATCATACCTTCATATGACGCTTCATTAAGCTTTAAATTGGCGCGTTGCTTCGTGAATTAGTACTATCTTTATTATCACACAATAAGACAGTCCATTTGTCTATAACAGAAATCAACCAATCACGTTGCTATATCACCATTCTCCGAGGACCATTATTTTCTCAGTGTGACCGCCTGGTCACTAAAATATATTCATTGTTCATCAAAGCTTTCGCGGTCCATCCATTTCAGTCGGTAGTTTGTGGCGGGGAGAACATTTCTCGTCGAAGACGCTCTAAGATAAAGATAAGAGAGCGCTAAGTCTGCGAAGCACAAGGCGATTTGAGGAAATTCACTCTCGTAAGGTTATACGTTTATGGGTTAAGTTAGGCCACTGCTACACTTCTTCGTTTTCGATTAGGAAGCATACATTTTGATGTGTTTTCGCCGATCAACTGCACTAAAACGCTCGAAAACGTTGATGAAAACGGAAAATTTGAATATGCATCGTTTAAGACAGAGGCCTTTAAAAATGGTGACGAAAAAATTAACAGATGTGATTGCTCTCATGCATGCGGAATTCCAAGTCCCAGTGGTTTTATCCTTTACGGCCGTTTTGGTGAGGACAAGTGAAGACGCTGCGAAAACGCTTGTTTGAGTAGAAATATTTTGCTTCGTTTTGAAAACGAAAATGGAGACTTTTTAAAACGTGTGGTCAGGGCCTTAGATAGACTCCTCTATATAGGAAATATACCCGAGAAAAAGTTGGGCTGACTCGAGATCAGGTCAGTTTTCGCTATGGTTATCATTAGGATTGCCTTGGAGGGGGAAGGGGGGTCTTAAGGCTCATGTGATCAAAAAGGATCGTTTTTTTTCACGAGAGCGCTTTGACGAATCTTGAAATCCGATTGGTTCATGGAGCAGGCAAGATATTCCTATCCTGCCCATGGACAACGGTAACGTTTGGCCGGCCGAATCATCTTGTTGATCTATTTTTGTATAGAAGCTGGTAACAATCGTCAATATTTTGCTGTGGAATAATCCACGCAGACTTAACTCTGTTCACTTTTAAATGGCAAGGAACGTCACCGTAAGTAATTTCAAATGCGAATTTCTAAGTTATGATAATTTATTTACTCTAACGGTGCGCGTAAATCTTGTTTTTCTTCAACCGCGAAACTGAAATCAAATGAGATAGTTTCTCCAGACACGAGGGGATTTAACGCGGATTTCACTCTTTAAATTTCTTCGGTTTCTGCCTTACAAAGTAAGTAGAAGTGTCGGAATTAAACCTACTCACACAATCGCACTGGCACAACTCAAAACCTTACTTAAATGTTTACACCGAACAAGTTACTTTGGAGAATTACAGATTGCATTAAATGAAAGTATAACATTCGTCAATTGAAATTTGCATCAATTTCTCGTTGAGTTACTTTTTGAGAAGGATTGGGAAGTTATGAACGGTTTTATTTTATAGATTTCATGTCAAGTTTAACCCATTGGAAATAAATTTTTTTTTGAGAGAGAGAGGGAAACTGAAAATATATAAGTTATCTCCTGTCTTGGGGTCGGTCCGTACAGTGAAAAATTGTGACCTCTGGCAGCATTTTGAAGACCTCAGTCTTAGTTTCTCTATCATACGGACTTCCCAACCGGAAAATAAGAAACATTTTTTTCAGGGTGGCCCATTCAGGGAGCTTACAAAGCATCCGCTCAGCTTTCAACATAATAAGTACTTAAACGAAACTACATGAATATTCTAGACCAACTATACCATAGAATAACACGTACTCTTAAAAGAAACATTTACATTAGAAATAATACATTCAACAAGAGATAGCTGGAAAACGATTATATATTTTGAAGTACTTGAAATTATTGAAAAATAAAGCTTCATAATAACTTAAGTTTGAAGAACAAGCAGGAGCAAAAAGTTTCTCCGACGCGTCGAACAACTCTGCAAACGTCGTCATTGAATACAAAA